ATGATGCCTCCGACAGCACTTCGATATGGCACGTTGCACATGGTGTCTTCGTGCTTGCATTCTTGTTCACACATGTTCTTGGTTAGCTTCAGGCCGGGATCTTGAGGCGTCTTCACTGGCTTGCTGTTATCCATTCCGAACTTGGTTAACACGGACTTGAGAAACTTGGTTTGTTGTACAGTCACCATTCCCGTCTTACGGTCGTTCTTGATCTCCATGCCGAGAAAGTAATCGAGCTCACCGAGATCCGTCATTTCGAAGCGTTTGCTCAGCGCCATCTTGGTTGACTTGAGGAGTTCGTTGTTGCTGCTGGCCAGGATGAGATCATCGACGTAGAGCACCACGAGAATCATGTCTTGGTCGTCTCGCTTGATGTAGATGCAGTGGTCCGATTCGCACTTCTTGAATCCCATCTTGATCATGAACCCATCGATTGTTTGGTTCCACATGCGAGGCGATTGCTTCAAGCCGTAGAGTGATCTCTTTAGCTTGCACACATAGTCCGGCTGTGTTGCATCCAGGTATCCGTCCGGCTGGTCCATGTAGATGTCTTCGTTGAGGGAGCCGTTAAGAAACGCTGTCTTGACGTCCATCTGATGTAGCATTAGGCCGTACTTAGCCGCCATACTGAGCACCACACGAATCGATGTGAACTTGGCCACCGGTGCGAAAGTTTCTTCATAGTCAACTCCGAATTTCTGTGAGAATCCTTTGGCCACAAGTCTTGCCTTGAAACGTTCAACTTCGCCATCTTGATTCTCCTTTACACGAAAAACCCATCGGCACCCGATGGCCTTGCGACCTTTCGGAAGAGGCACGATTTCCCACGTGTCGTTTCTCTGAAGCGAATCGAACTCCGAGTCACACGCTTCTTTCCACTTGCCGGAGTCGCTTGATTCCATCGCCGACTTGAATGTAGTCGGCGTTTCCCCACTGAATCAACGATGTAGGCTGCTTCAAAATCCATTGCAGCCGCTGACACATGCTCAAGCGACGGACCTCTGTATGTTCTTCGCTTGGGACTTGGAATGACGGTAGCTTTCTCAAGTGATTGAGTGCGCGTGTGTCTCTTGATGTTGCTCTTCGAAGACCTGGTGTCTTCGTTGTCATCGTCGCTCGAGTCCATGTCGTCGTCAGTTTTACCTTCTTCTTTTTCTTCGTCCTCATCATGATCATCAAACTCAACGACACTTGACTCATCGTTGTAGTTGCGCGGACCTTCATCAAACTTGTCTTCCATGAATGTGGCATCGCGACTGATCTTGATCGCTCCTGTTGACACTTCCTCAAATCGATATGACTTCTGGTGTTCGGCGTATCCCAGGAAACGACAGAGTGATGACTTGGAGTCGAACTTCGCGCGTTTGTCTTGAGGCACTTGAACATACGCGTGGCATCCAAACACTTTAAGGTTGGCCAGAATCGGTTTCTTCATCGTCCACACTTGATATGGAGACTTGTCTTGGTGAATGGCACGTGTTGGACAGCGGTTTCGAAGAAACATCGCCGTCATCACTGCTTCACCCCAGTAGCTCTTTCCCAGTCCAGCGTGTTCCATCATGCAACGCGCACACTCGACCAGCGTGCGATTCATTCTCTCAGCTACTCCGTTTAGCTGAGGAGTATATGGGGGTGTGAACCTTTGTTGTATTCCCCGTTCCGCGCAGAATCGTGCCAGCTTGTCGGACTTGTATTCACCCCCATTGTCGCTTTGAAGGTACTTCACGCGCTTTCCGGTTTGCGTTTCGGCCATCGCAGCGTATTCCATGAACTTCGCCGCAACTTCAGATTTGCTCTTGAGCAGATAGACGACACAGTATCTTGACTTGTCATCGATGAATGTCACGAAGTACCGTTTTCCACTGAAAGTTGCCATCGACATCGGTCCGCATACGTCGCTGTGAATCACTTCGAGGAGTTTGGAGGTGCGAGCTGTAGTGTTTGATTGGAAGCGCACTCGAGTCTGTTTTCCCAGAGCACAACCTTCACACACGTCCCACTTCTTCACCGAAGATATGTCGATGCCAATTCCAATGTTCTTCGTCACGATGCAATTGAGTCCATCGTGACCTATGTGGCCAAGCCGAAGGTGCCAGAGGTACGACTTGGTGCCCCCTTGACATCCCGACGACTTGGCTGCATTTGCTTGTTCCGGCGCCACTGGAGTCATTTGCAGCTTGAACAGTCCTTTACCTTCACGGGCACCAATTTTCCACTTGGTCCCTTTCGCTTCTCCATAGCACCCATCCTTCGTGAACGTCACTGGGCCGACATCCTTGGTGAAGCGGCCGACCGAGAACAGGTTTCTGGATAACTTTGGGATGTGCCACACGTTTGTGAGCACACCTTTCTTCATCCCTTGGGGTGTCTTCATCGACATGACAATGTCCCCACTGCCGATTGCTTGGACGATTCCATCATCCGCGAGATGGACATCCACAGCGTCAAACCCCTTGTAGTTCCGCATGAACTTCTTGGAGCACGTCATGTGCTGCGTCGCCCCGGAGTCGACCAGCCAGATGTCGCTCGATTTCGCAGATGTCGTTTCACCGATCGAAAAGAGGTAGTCGCCCGAGTCTTCTTCTTGAGCGACGTTTGCACGTTGTGATCGATAGCGGTCGCCGCTGTCTTGAGCACGCTGTGGCCGGTGTCTCTCCGTGTTTTCTTGGATGCGCGAGGGGCACTCCGCCATCCAGTGACCAATCTTTCCGCAATTGTGGCACGGCCAGGACTTCTTCACTGGTCGCCCTTTGCGCTGATTGTCCCTTGTGATGAACGCTTGACCTTGCGAAGCTTCATCACCTTTACTTCCTTGCTCCTTCCGCTTCATTTCTTCATGAAGCAGTCGAGACGTCACGAGCTCCCAGCTAAGAGTGTCTGAGCGCGACTCCAAAGCTGTGATCAAGAATTGATACGAGTCACTCAGGCTGCCGAGGAGTGTGATCACCAGATCGTCCTCGCAGACTGGAGCCCCCACCGCTTCTAGCTGTTCCGCCAGCGTCTTGAGCTTGTTGATGTGTTCGAGCACATCGTCGCCTTCTTCCATCATTGTCGTGAAGAAGCGACGGCGCAAGAACAGCTTGTTGGCAAGACTCTTCTTCTCGAAGTGGTCTTCCAACCTTGACCATGCGTCGCATGCACCACTTGCCGACCGGACCAACGGTAGCTGGGAATCTTCCATGGCTAGACAGATCACTGCCATCGCCTTTCTTGACTTCCTCTTGTACGTCGCTTGGTCCAACTGAGTCTCGCACTGTTCCGCCTTGATCTCACCGCTGACGACCTCCCATAGGTCCCGTTCCTCCAGCACCATCTGCATCTTGAACTTCCAGGCGTGGAAGTTAGTTCCATCGAACTTGGAGATGCGGAGGGAGGAGGCGTCCATGGCAGCTAAGCTTGAATTGTTGGCGGTTTCAGAGTCTGACGAACTTGGGCTCATAACCTGATGAACTTTAGACTTCTTGGTCCGAGTGCAAAACGCAAAGTGAATATATATTTATAATAGGTACTTAGTTCGCAACTTTGAATACTACCTCTAAGCCTATTATTCGCAGTGACGTCATCCAGTGACGTCACCCACTGACGTCACCCACTGACGTCATGCAATGACGTCATCCAGTGACGTCATTTCCTGACTTCGCCCTTACTGGTACATACCGGTACCCACCGGTATAGCGAAGCTTGGTCTTCCACTTGCTTCAACACTTGACGCAGCTTGACGAGGTGTCTTCTTCACAGCCGCTGTCTTTTCAACACCTTGCTCGTCGAAACTCCACATTCGAACGAGACTGCAAACGCCACTCGATCGTAGCCATTGCCTTCATCATGATGTCCCCACTGGACATTGTTAGCCCCGCGTCCACGACCATTGCCGCCGCGTCGGGCTCCCCGACCTTCGTTCTTCTGTTTTGTCCAGCAACGATCCACCGTGTGTCCCACCTTGCCACAATACGTGCATTGGTAGGGCTCACGCTCGGCGCTGAATGCCTTGCTTGCATCTTCAGCCTTCACCGTAGTCGCTGTCGTTGTCCCTTTTTCTCCTTGACGCTTGGCATGCTCATTCGTCAGGACTCTCACCACATCTTGAGTGCGAAGCTCGGTGCTGCTCATTTCCATGTTGAGTACCACATTTTCGTAGCTCTTCGGAAGACTGAGTAGCAGACAAATTGCAACGTCTTCGTCTTCCATCTTCGCACCGATGCCGCTAAGCTTGGCGGAGATGTTGAGGACCTCGTTGCAGTGATGCATGACGTTCGCGCCTTCAGCCATCTTGATGCTGAAAAGTTGTCGCTTGAGGTAGATGCGTCCTGCCTTCTGCGACCCACCGTACAGCGTCTTCAGACTGGTCCACGCAACCCAGGCTTCCTCGCAGTTGTCCAGCACATGATGGTAGTCCGCGTTCATGTGCAGCAGCATCATACCAAACGCGACGTTGCTTGCCTTGACGTAGTCATCGGACGCTCGCGGGTCGGTGAAAGTCGGAGTCACTTCACGGTTGACGACGTGCCAGACGGACTTCGTCAAAAACACACCGCGCATGTACCGGCTCCACGTTGCGTAATTGTCTCCGTTGAACTTGTCAATGGAGGCGTTGCTGGTGGACGACATGGCGCTTGGGCTCATAACCTGTTGCATTGTAGATCGGAGCGAGGAAAGCGGAGCGAACGGAGCGGAGAGACCGAAGAGAGTAGAGCAGAAAACACTTGCCCAATAGTTGGAAGATTCGAAAGTGATTGATTATCGGGACTTACTACTTACTACATGATTTATATGTGGTGTACATATAAATCATGTGAAGCGTCTCATCATCCTACGCGTCTAATCAACTATGGTAATTACCGTAAGAACTACGTCGTAAATACTAGGCTGAACAGGCGGTTCGGATTGGACCGGTAACGATTACCAACACTGGTAGAAAACCGATAACCGTCAAAAGCACTGAGGGCGAACTCTTGGTGGCTGATGGCAACAAGGTGGCCATCAAGGGTGTGGGAACCATCATGGAAAAGGTGGTTCTGCCCAACGGTGAAGAGCGTGAGATCGAAATCAAGAACGCGCTATATGTTCCAAGTATGAGCAAGAACCTGCTCTCGGTACCACAGATTAACAGCCATGGCAAGTTTCAAGTCGTGTTTGACGGGTCCAAGATGTATGTGACTCTCAAGAACTCACAGGAAGTGGTGGCGACAGCGGATCTCGTGGATGAACTCTACTGGCTTCGGACGACTCAACGATCAGCGAATGTGACAACAAGTGGAACCAGTTGTGCCGATCTACATGCGAGAATGGGTCATGCTCCAGTCGATGTACTTCGCAAGATGATCTGTTGCAATGTAGATCGGAGCGAGGAAAGCGGAGCAAACGGAGCGGAGAGACCGAAGAGAGTAGAGCAGAAAACACTTGCCCAATAGTTGGAAGATTCGAAAGTGATTGATTATCGGGACTTACTACTTACTACATGATTTATATGTGGTGTACATATAAATCATGTGAAGCGTCTCATCATCCTACGCGTCTAATCAACTATGGTAATTACCGTAAGAACTACGTCGTAAATACTAAGCTGAACAGGCGGTTCGGATTGGATCGGTCACGGTTACCAACACTGGTAGAAAACCGATGACCGTCAACACGCCCCCTCAATCCGAATGCTCACGAATGCCGAGAGACGTCGTCAAGTCCTTGTGGCGTGGTCCATGAAGTCCCTTCGTCATGATGTCCGCTAACATCACCGCAGTTTCACAATACTTGAGCTTCACTTCACCGCGCTTGACCTCATCACGGATGTGATGGTACTTGATATCAATGTGCTTGGCACGGCCGTGGTTGACTGGGTTCTTCGTCATCTTGATACACGACTGATTGTCTTCATGGATCATGAGTTCCGGTCCTTCTTCATTGGCAGCCATCACGATCTCACAAAGCAGACGATGAATCCACTTGCCCTCTTGAATCGCCAAGCTGAGTGCGATGTATTCGGCTTCACTCGTGGACAACGAAACACTTGGCTGCTTCTTGCTGCCCCAACTGACTGGCGCACCGAGTAGCATGAACGTGTACCCCGATGTTGACTTGCGGTCGGTAAGATCACCAGCCCAATCCGCATCCGAATATCCACGGAAGTCGATCCTTGCACTTGGCTTGTAGCAAATTCCATGCGTCTTGGTGCCTTGTAGGTAGCGAAAGATACGCTTAACTGCAACCCAGTGTTCTTCTTGGGGATTTTCCATGAACCGCGACACATAGCCCACAGCAAACGCAATGTCCGGACGCGTTGCAGTGGTCAGGTGCATCAACGCACCAACAGCTTCGCGAAAAGGAGCATCGACCTTGGTAGTTGCATCACTTGAAACAAGTCGAGAGCTCATGTCGACTGGACTTGCGACTGCCTTGCAATCATCCATGCCAAAGCGCTTGAGGATATCATCGACATACCGACGCTGACATAGTGTCACACTGCCATCTTCACCGTCCAAAAGCTCGATCCCAAGAACAAACGCACACTTGCCGCTGTCCGTCATTTCGAACCGCGTCTTCAGGTCGTTCTTGGTTTGTGCAATCAGCTCGAGCGAGCTTCCAGTCACCAAGACGTCGTCCACGTAGACCAGTATAAACACGCAATGGCCGTCCGAAGTCTTGATGTAGAGACATGGGTCGAAGTCCGATACTTGAAATCCGATGGAGCACACATACTCGTCGAACGTCTCGTTCCACACTCGCGACGCTTGCTTGAGGCCGTAAATTGACTTCACCAATTCCAGGCAGTCGAACGTACTGTCAAGTTCGACGCCTTCAGGAATCACGCAGAACACTTGTTCCTTCATGACGCCATACAGGAAAGCTGTCACCACATCAAGCTGGTCGATGGGCCATCCAAAATGCTTGGAAATTGCGATCACCATTCGCAGCGTCACATACTTGACCACAGGCGAAAACGTCTCCGTGTAGTCGATGCCATACTTTTGGCGGAAACCCTTGGCCACAAGTCGTGCCTTGTACTTCTCGATTGACCCATCCGCCTTGCGCTTGATCTTGAACACCCATTTTGTGCCAATGGCGCGTTGTCCGTTGGGCAGCTTGGCTGCACGAAACACACCGCGAAGTCGCATTGACTCGAGCTCTGCATGAATTGCTTTTCTCCAGTGCACTTGGTCAGGGCCGCTTACTGCTGCTTCAAATGTTGAGGGTTCTGATAAGTCCACTGCTGCTTCAACGGCATTTGCACTCGCACGCCAAAACACAGGCGGTGTTGAATCACCAGAATCCTTCGTTTCTTCGTCTTCTTCTTGTCGTGACGAGTTGTTTTCCGGCGCGCTTGACTCTTCTAGTCCTGGTCGTTGACGCACTGCACGCGGTCGTGGAGCTGCTGTATCTTCATCATTGAGTCGGTTCTTGCGCTTGCCTGTTTGCTTGTACTCCATTTGACGCAGCTCTTCGTCATCAAGATCCAGCAATTCGAAGTCCAGGTCATCGACATCTTCATCAGTGATCGGCAGTTGAAGTCCAAAGGTGGACTCGTCGAAGTTGACATCGCGGCTGATAACCACCTGCCCCGCCTCGATGTCATAAACACGATATGCCTTCGAAACTTCTTCGTAGCCCACGAATATGCCAGCGCGAGCCTTTGGATCCCACTTGAGTCGATTCTCTTTAGGCGTCAGTATGTATGTCTGACACCCGAATGTTCGCATGTGCTTGACGCTTGGTTTCAAGTTGTAGACGATCTCAAACGGGGTCTTGTGCACGACTTTAGGTGACGGCAGTCGATTCTTGACGTAGATGGCCGTCATCGCTGCTTCGGCCCAGAAACACTTGTCCAGTTTGGCATGATGAAGCATGCTGCGGCCGATCGTGACAATAGTCCTAATGGCACGCTCTGCTGTTCCGTTTGTTTGATGTGCATACGGCACCGTTGTCTGCTGTTCAATGCCTTCGTCTTCGTAGAACAGTTGAAGCGAGTTGGTTGCAAACTCGCGAGCTCCGTCGTGTCGCACGAACTTGACCTTCTTACAGAATTGCGTCTGTACCATGGTGATATATTTCCGGATGTAGTCTTCACTCTCGGACTTCACTCGTAGACAAAAGCCCTTCATGCATCCACTGGCTTCGTCGATGATCAGCAGCAAATATTTGCTGCCACCGAGCGAATCCTTTTCCATGGGCCCGCAGATGTCCAGATGAAGTAGCTCAAACGTATCGTAGCTGCGCTTGTCTCGGTTGCTTGGAAATGGTTTTTGGACCATTTTCCCTTGTTGACATCCTCGACATGTAGTTGCTCCACCCGACTTGAGAGGGACTCGCACATCCTTGATCATGTTGGTCGCGATCATCTTGCGAAGTACATCGACTGGAGCATGACCCATTCTCGCATGTAGATCGGCACAACTGGTTCCACTTGTTGTCACATTCGCTGATCGTTGAGTCGTCCGAAGCCAGTAGAGTCCATCCACGAGATCCGCTGTCGCCACCACTTGCTGTGAGTTCTTGAGAGTCACATACATCTTGGACCCGTCAAACACGACTTGAAACTTGCCATGGCTGTTAATCTGTGGCACCGAGAGCAGGTTCTTGCTCATACTTGGAACATATAGCGCGTTCTTGATTTCGATCTCACGCTCTTCACCGTTGGGCAGAACCACCTTTTCCATGATGGTTCCCACACCCTTGATGGCCACCTTGTTGCCATCAGCCACCAAGAGTTCGCCCTCATTGCGCTCTGCCAAACTTGCGAACTTGGTCTTGTCGTGGCAAATGTGGTGCGTTGCACCACTGTCGACGGCCCACATTCCAGACACGTCCTTGCTCGTCGAAACTCCACATTCGAACGAGACTGCAAACGCCACTCGATCGTAGCCATTGCCTTCATCATGATGTCCCCACTGGACATTGTTAGCCCCGCGTCCACGACCATTGCCGCCGCGTCGGGCTCCCCGACCTTCGTTCTTCTGCTTTGTCCAGCAACGATCCACCGTGTGTCCCACCTTGCCACAATACGTGCATTGGTAGGGCTCACGCTCGGCGCTGAATGCCTTGCTTGCATCTTCAGCCTTCACCGTAGTCGCTGTCGTTGTCCCTTTTTCTCCTTGACGCTTGGCATGCTCATTCGTCAGGACTCTCACCACATCTTGAGTGCGAAGCTCGGTGCTGCTCATTTCCATGTTGAGCACCACATTTTCGTAGCTCTTCGGAAGACTGAGTAGCAGACAAATTGCAACGTCTTCGTCTTCCATCTTCGCACCGATGCCGCTAAGCTTGGCGGAGATGTTGAGGACCTCGTTGCAGTGATGCATGACGTTCGCGCCTTCAGCCATCTTGATACTGAAAAGTTGTCGCTTGAGGTAGATGCGTCCTGCCTTCTGCGACCCACCGTACAGCGTCTTCAGACTTGTCCACGCAACCCAGGCTTCCTCGCAGTTGTCCAGCACATGATGGTAGTCCGCGTTCATGTGCAGCAGCATCATACCAAACGCGACGTTGCTTGCCTTGACGTAGTCATCGGACGCTCGCGGGTCGGTGAAAGTCGGAGTCACTTCACGGTTGACGACGTGCCAGACGGACTTCGTCAAAAACACACCGCGCATGTACCGGCTCCACGTTGCGTAATTCTCTCCGTTGAACTTGTCAATGGAGGCGTTGCTGGTGGACGACATGGCGCTTGGGCTCATAACCTGTTGCATTGTAGATCGGAGCGAGGAAAGCGGAGCAAACGGAGCGGAGAGACCGAAGAGAGTAGAGCAGAAAACACTTGCCCAATAGTTGGAAGATTCGAAAGTGATTGATTATCGGGACTTACTACTTACTACATGATTTATATGTGGTGTACATATAAATCATGTGAAGCGTCTCATCATCCTACGCGTCTAATCAACTATGGTAATTACTGTAAGAACTACGTCGTAAATACTAAGCTGAACAGGCGGTTCGGATTGGATCGGTCACGGTTACCAATACTGGTAGAAAACCGATGACCGTCAACATGATCGCGACCAACATGATCAAGGATGTGCGAGTCCCTCTCAAGTCGGGTGGAGCAACTACATGTCGAGGATGTCAACAAGGGAAAATGGTCCAAAAACCATTTCCAAGCAACCGAGACAAGCGCATCTACGATACGTTTGAGCTGCTTCATCTTGATGAACTTTAGACTTCTTGGTCCGAGTGCAAAACGCAAAGTGAATATATATTTATAATAGGTACTTAGTTCGCAACTTTGAATACTACCTCTAAGCCTATTATTCGCAGTGACGTCATCCAGTGACGTCATTTCCTGACTTCGCCCTTACTGGTACATACCGGTACCCACCGGTATAGCGAAGCTTGTTCTTCCACTTGCTTCAACACTTGACGCAGCTTGACGAGGTGTCTTCTTCACAGCCGCTGTCTTTTCAACACTCCCTCTCGACTCGTTAGCTGCGGCACCTTGGATCCCAAGTCGATCGCGAATGTTTTCAAATTGTACAGCGGCGATCGGCTTGGTCATCATGTCTGCCAGCATATCTTGAGTCGGGCAATACTCCAAAACGACTTCACCTGATTCCACCTTCTCACGCACAAAATGGTAGCGTATGTCGATGTGTTTTGTTCTCTTATGGAACTCCGGGTTCTTGGCGAGAGCGATTGATCCTTGGTTGTCTTCATACATCTTGATCGCTTCGTCGCTTGTCATCTCACCAAGTTCCCCCAAAAGCACCTTGAGCCATACTGCTTCTTTGGTTGCTTCGGAAAGCGCCATGTATTCTGCTTCTGTTGAAGATAGCGCGACCGTCCGTTGTTTCTGGCTTTTCCAGCTGATGCATCCTCCGCTCATCATGAACACATAGCCGCTTGTACTTCGTCTTGACTCAATGTCGCCGGCCCAGTCTGCGTCGGTGTACCCGCAGATACGGCTTCCTTCTTCACGTGTAAACTCAAGACCATGATTGGGCGTTGCTTGCAGGTATCTCAGCACACGCTTCAAAGCTTGCCAGTGAGTCGGGCATGGGTCGGACGAGAACTGGGATAATGATCCCACTGCAGCAGCTAGATCCGGACGTGTGGCGACCATGAGATACATGATGCCTCCGACAGCACTTCGATATGGCACGTTGCACATGGTGTCTTCGTGCTTGCATTCTTGTTCACACATGTTCTTGGTTAGCTTCAGGCCGGGATCTTGAGGCGTCTTCACTGGCTTGCTGTTATCCATTCCGAACTTGGTTAACACGGACTTGAGAAACTTGGTTTGTTGTACAGTCACCATTCCCGTCTTACGGTCGTTCTTGATCTCCATGCCGAGAAAGTAATCGAGCTCACCGAGATCCGTCATTTCGAAGCGTTTGCTCAGCGCCATCTTGGTTGACTTGAGGAGTTCGTTGTTGCTGCTGGCCAGGATGAGATCATCGACGTAGAGCACCACGAGAATCATGTCTTGGTCGTCTCGCTTGATGTAGATGCAGTGGTCCGATTCGCACTTCTTGAATCCCATCTTGATCATGAACCCATCGATTGTTTGGTTCCACATGCGAGGCGATTGCTTCAAGCCGTAGAGTGATCTCTTTAGCTTGCACACATAGTCCGGCTGTGTTGCATCCAGGTATCCGTCCGGCTGGTCCATGTAGATGTCTTCGTTGAGGGAGCCGTTAAGAAACGCTGTCTTGACGTCCATCTGATGTAGCATTAGGCCGTACTTAGCCGCCATACTGAGCACCACACGAATCGATGTGAACTTGGCCACCGGTGCGAAAGTTTCTTCATAGTCAACTCCGAATTTCTGTGAGAATCCTTTGGCCACAAGTCTTGCCTTGAAACGTTCAACTTCGCCATCTTGATTCTCCTTTACACGAAAAACCCATCGGCACCCGATGGCCTTGCGACCTTCGGAAGAGGCACGATTTCCCACGTGTCGTTTCTCTGAAGCGAATCGAACTCCGAGTCACACGCTTCTTTCCACTTGCCGGAGTCGCTTGATTCCATCGCCGACTTGAATGTAGTCGGCGTTTCCCCCACTGAATCAACGATGTAGGCTGCTTCAAAATCCATTGCAGCCGCTGACACATGCTCAAGCGACGGACCTCTGTACGTTCTTCGCTTGGGACTTGGAATGACGGTAGCTTTCTCAAGTGATTGAGTGCGCGTGTGTCTCTTGATGTTGCTCTTCGAAGACCTGGTGTCTTCGTTGTCATCGTCGCTCGAGTCCATGTCGTCGTCAGTTTTACCTTCTTCTTTTTCTTCGTCCTCATCATGATCATCAAACTCAACGACACTTGACTCATCGTTGTAGTTGCGCGGACCTTCATCAAACTTGTCTTCCATGAATGTGGCATCGCGACTGATCTTGATCGCTCCTGTTGACACTTCCTCAAATCGATATGACTTCTGGTGTTCGGCGTATCCCAGGAAACGACAGAGTGATGACTTGGAGTCGAACTTCGCGCGTTTGTCTTGAGGCACTTGAACATACGCGTGGCATCCAAACACTTTAAGGTTGGCCAGAATCGGTTTCTTCATCGTCCACACTTGATATGGAGACTTGTCTTGGTGAATGGCACGTGTTGGACAGCGGTTTCGAAGAAACATCGCCGTCATCACTGCTTCACCCCAGTAGCTCTTTCCCAGTCCAGCGTGTTCCATCATGCAACGCGCACACTCGACCAGCGTGCGATTCATTCTCTCAGCTACTCCGTTTAGCTGAGGAGTATATGGGGGTGTGAACCTTTGTTGTATTCCCCGTTCCGCGCAGAATCGTGCCAGCTTGTCGGACTTGTATTCACCCCCATTGTCGCTTTGAAGGTACTTCACGCGCTTTCCGGTTTGCGTTTCGGCCATCGCAGCGTATTCCATGAACTTCGCCGCAACTTCAGATTTGCTCTTGAGCAGATAGACGACACAGTATCTTGACTTGTCATCGATGAATGTCACGAAGTACCGTTTTCCACTGAAAGTTGCCATCGACATCGGTCCGCATACGTCGCTGTGAATCACTTCGAGGAGTTTGGAGGTGCGAGCTGTAGTGTTTGATTGGAAGCGCACTCGAGTCTGTTTTCCCAGAGCACAACCTTCACACACGTCCCACTTCTTCACCGAAGATATGTCGATGCCAATTCCATTGTTCTTCGTCACGATGCAATTGAGTCCATCGTGACCTATGTGGCCAAGCCGAAGGTGCCAGAGGTACGACTTGGTGCCCCCTTGACATCCCGACGACTTGGCTGCATTTGCTTGTTCCGGCGCCACTGGAGTCATTTGCAGCTTGAACAGTCCTTTACCTTCACGGGCACCAATTTTCCACTTGGTCCCTTTCGCTTCTCCATAGCACCCATCCTTCGTGAACGTCACTGGGCCGACATCCTTGGTGAAGCGGCCGACCGAGAACAGGTTTCTGGATAACTTTGGGATGTGCCACACGTTTGTGAGCACACCTTTCTTCATCCCTTGGGGTGTCTTCATCGACATGACAATGTCCCCACTGCCGATTGCTTGGACGATTCCATCATCCGCGAGATGGACATCCACAGCGTCAAACCCCTTGTAGTTCCGCATGAACTTCTTGGAGCACGTCATGTGCTGCGTCGCCCCGGAGTCGACCAGCCAGATGTCGCTCGATTTCGCAGATGTCGTTTCACCGATCGAAAAGAGGTAGTCGCCCGAGTCTTCTTCTTGAGCGACGTTTGCACGTTGTGATCGATAGCGGTCGCCGCTGTCTTGAGCACGCTGTGGCCGGTGTCTCTCCGTGTTTTCTTGGATGCGCGAGGGGCACTCCGCCATCCAGTGACCAATCTTTCCGCAATTGTGGCACGGCCAGGACTTCTTCACTGGTCGCCCTTTGCGCTGATTGTCCCTTGTGATGAACGCTTGACCTTCCGAAGCTTCATCACCTTTACTTCCTTGCTCCTTCCGCTTCATTTCTTCATGAAGCAGTCGAGACGTCACGAGCTCCCAGCTAAGAGTGTCTGAGCGCGACTCCAAAGCTGTGATCAAGAATTGATACGAGTCACTCAGGCTGCCGAGGAGTGTGATCACCAGATCGTCCTCGCAGACTGGAGCCCCCACCGCTTCTAGCTGTTCCGCCAGCGTCTTGAGCTTATTGATGTGTTCGAGCACATCGTCGCCTTCTTCCATCATTGTCGTGAAGAAGCGACGGCGCAAGAACAGCTTGTTGGCAAGACTCTTCTTCTCGAAGTGGTCTTCCAACCTTGAACATGCGTCGCATGCACCACTTGCCGACCGGACCAACGGTAGCTGGGAATCTTCCATGGCTAGACAGATCACTGCCATCGCCTTTCTTGACTTCCTCTTGTACGTCGCTTGGTCCAACTGAGTCTCGCACTGTTCCGCCTTGATCTCACCGCTGACGACCTCCCATAGGTCCCGTTCCTCCAGCACCATCTGCATCTTGAACTTCCAGGCGTGGAAGTTAGTTCCATCGAACTTGGAGATGCGGAGGGAGGAGGCGTCCATGGCAGCTAAGCTTGAATTGTTGGCGGTTTCAGAGTCTGACGAACTTGGGCTCATAACCTGATGAACTTTAGGCTTCTTGGTCCGAGTGCAAAACGCAAAGTGAATATATATTTATAATAGGTACTTAGTTCGCAACTTTGAATACTACCTCTAAGCCTATTATTCGCAGTGACGTCATCCAGTGACGTCACCCACTGACGTCACCCACTGACGTCATGCAATGACGTCATCCAGTGACGTCATTTCCTGACTTCGCCCTTACTGGTACATACCGGTACCCACCGGTATAGCGAAGCTTGGTCTTCCACTTGCTTCAACACTTGACGCAGCTTGACGAGGTGTCTTCTTCACAGCCGCTGTCTTTTCAACACATCTGGACATCTGCGGGCCCATGGAAAAGGATTCGCTCGGTGGCAGCAAATATGTGCTGCTGATCATCGACGAAGCCAGTGGATGCATGAAGGGATTTTGTCTACGAGTGAAATCCGAGAGTGAAGACTACATCCGGAAATATATCACCATGGTACAGACGCAATTCTGTAAGAAGGTCAAGTTCGTGCGACACGACGGAGCTCGCGAGTTTGCAACCAACTCGCTTCAGCTGTTCTACGAAGACGAAGGCATTGAACAGCAGACAACGGTGCCGTATGCACATCAAACAAACGGAACAGCAGAGCGTGCCATTAGGACTATTGTCACGATCGGCCGCAGCATGCTTCATCATGCCAAACTGGACAAGTGTTTCTGGGCCGAAGCAGCGATGACGGCCATCTACGTCAAGAATCGACTGCCGTCACCTAAAGTCGTGCACAAGACCCCGTTTGAGATCGTCTACAACTTGAAACCAAGCGTCAAGCACATGCGAACATTCGGCTGTCAGACGTTTATACTGACTCCGAAGGAGAAGCGACTCAATTGGGATCCCAAGGCTTGCGCTGGCATATTCGTGGGCTACGAAGAAGTTTCGAAGGCATATCGTGTATTTGACATCGAGGCGGGGCAGGTTGTTGTCACTCGGGATGTCAACCTCGACGAGTCCACCTTTGGACTTCAACTGCCGATCACTGATGAAGATGTCGATGACCTGGACTTCGAATTGCTGGATCTTGATGACGAAGAGCTGCGTCAAATGGAGTACAAGCAAACAGGCAAGCGCAAGAACCGACTCAATGATGAAGATACAGCAGCTCCACGACCGCGTGCAGTGCGTCAACGACCAGGACTAGAAGAGTCAAGCGCGCCGGAAAACAACTCGTCACGCCAAGAAGAAGACGAAGAAACGAAGGATTCTGGTGATTCAACACCGCCTGTGTTTTGGCGTGCGAGTGCAAATGCCGTTGAAGCAGCAGTGGACTTATCAGAGCCCTCAACATTTGAAGCAGCAGTAAGGGCCCTGACCAAGTGCACTGGAGAAAAGCAATTCATGCAGAGCTCGAGTCAATGCGACTTCGCGGTGTGTTTCGTGCAGCCAAGCTTGCCCAACGGACAACGCGCCATTGGCACAAAATGGGTGTTCAAGATCAAGCGTAAAGCGGATGGATCTATCGAGAAGTACAAGGCACGTCTCGTGGCAAAGGGTTTTCGCCAAAAGTATGGCATCGACTACACGGAGACGTTTTCGCCCGTGGTCAAGTATGTGACGCTGCGAATGGTGATCGCAATTTCCAAGCATTTTGGATGGCCCATCGACCAGCTTGATGTGGTGACAGCTTTCCTGTATGGCGTCATGAAGGAACAAGTGTTCTGCGTGATTCCTGAAGGCGTCGAACTTGACAGTACGTTCGACTGCCTGGAATTGGTGAAGGCAATTTACGGCCTGAAGCAAGCTTTGCGAGTATGGAACGAGACTTTTGACGAGTGTGTGTGTTCCATTGGATTTCAAGTGTCAGGCTTCGACCCATGTCTCTACATCAAGACATCGGACGGCCATTGCGTGTTTATACTGGTCTATGTGGATGACGTGTTGGTGACAGGAAGCTCACCCAAGTTGATTGCACACACCAAGGAAGACCTGAAGACACGCTTCGAGATGACTGATAGCGGCAAGTGTGCGTTTGTTCTTGAGATCGAGCTTTTGGACGGTGAAGATGGCAGTGTGACACTATGTCAGCGTCGGTATGTCGATGATATCCTCAAGCGCTTTGGCATGGATGATTGCAAGGCAGTCGCAAGTCCAGTCGACATGAGCTCTCGACTTGTTTCAAGTGATGCAACTACCAAGGTCGATGCTCCTTTTCGCGAAGCTGTTGGTGCGTTGATGCACCTGACCACTGCAACGCGTCCGGACATTGCGTTTGCTGTGGGCTATGTGTCGCGGTTCATGGAAAATCCCCAAGAAGAACACTGGGTTGCAGTTAAGCGTATCTTTCGCTACCTACAAGGCACTAAGACGCATGGAATTTGCTACAAGCCAAGTGCAAGGATCGACTTCCGTGGATATTCGGATGCGGATTGGGCTGGTGATCTTACCGACCGCAAGTCAACATCGGGGTACACGTTCATGCTACTCGGTGCGCCAGTGAGTTGGGGCAGCAAGAAGCAGCCAAGTGTTTCGTTGTCCACGACTGAAGCTGAATACATCGCACTCAGCTTGGCGATTCAAGAGGGCAAGTGGATTCATCGTCTGCTTTGTGAGATCGTGATGGCTGCCAATGAAGAAGGACCGGAACTCATGATCCATGAAGACAATCAATCTTGCATCAAGATGACGAAGAATCCTGCCAGCCATGGCCGTGCCAAGCGCATTGCACCAAGTACCATCACATCCGTGACGAGGTCAAGTGCGGCGAAGTCAAGCTCAAGTATTGTGAGACTACAGTGATGTTAGCGGACATCATGACGAAGGGACTTCATGGACCACGCCACAAGGACTTGACGACGTCTCTCGGCATTCGTGAGCATTCGGATTGAGGGGGCGTGTTGACGGTCATCGGTTTTCTACCAGTGTTGGTAACCGTGACCGGTCCAATCCGAACCGCCTGTTCAGCCTAGTATTTACGACGTAGTTCTTACGGTAATTACCATAGTTGATTAGACGCGTAGGATGATGAGACGCTTCACATGATTTATATGTACACCACATATAAATCATGTAGTAAGTAGTAAGTCCCGATAATCAATCACTTTCGAATCTTCCAACTATTGGGCAAGTGTTTTCTGCTCTACTCTCTTCGGTCTCTCCGCTCCGTTTGCTCCGCTTTCCTCGCTCCGATCTACAGTGCAACAGCAGCCATCACGATCTCACAAAGCAGACGATAAAACCACTTGCCCTCTTGAATCGCCAAGCTGAGTGCGATGTATTCAGCTTCAGTCGTGGACAACGAAACACTTGGCTGCTTCTTGCTGCCCCAACTCACTGGCGCACCGAGTAGCATGAACGTGTACCCCGATGTTGACTTGCGGTCGGTAAGATCACCAGCCCAATCCGCATCCGAATATCCACGGAAGTCGATCCTTGCACTTGGCTTGTAGCAAATTCCATGCGTCTTAGTGCCTTGTAGGTAGCGAAAGATACGCTTAACTGCAACCCAGTGTTCTTCTTGGGGATTTTCCATGAACCGCGACACATAGCCCACAGCAAACGCAATGTCCGGACGCGTTGCAGTGGTCAGGTGCATCAACGCACCAACAGCTTCGCGAAAAGGAGCATCGACCTTGGTAGTTGCATCACTTGAAACAAGTCGAGAGCTCATGTCGACTGGACTTGCGACTGCCTTGCAATCATCCATGCCAAAGCGCTTGAGGATATCATCGACATACCGACGCTGACATAGTGTCACACTGCCATCTTCACCGTCCAAAAGCTCGATCCCAAGAACAAACGCACACTTGCCGCTGTCCGTCATTTCGAACCGCGTCTTCAGGTCGTTCTTGGTTTGTGCAATCAGCTCGAGCGAGCTTCCAGTCACCAAGACGTCGTCCACGTAGACCAGTATAAACACGCAATGGCCGTCCGAAGTCTTGATGTAGAGACATGGGTCGAAGCCTGACACTTGAAATCCAATGGAACACACACTCGTCAAAAGTCTCGTTCCATACTCGCAAAGCTTGCTTCAGGCCGTAAATTGCCTTCACCAATTCCAGGCAGTCGAACGTACTGTCAAGTTCGACGCCTTCAGGAATCACGCAGAACACTTGTTCCTTCATGACGCCATACAGGAAAGCTGTCACCACATCAAGCTGGTCGATGGGCCATCCAAAATGCTTGGAAATTGCGATCACCATTCGCAGCGTCACATACTTGACCACGGGCGAAAACGTCTCCGTGTAGTCGATTCCATACTTTTGGCGAAAGCCCTTTGCCACGAGACGTGCCTTGTACTTCTCGATAGATCCATCCGCCTTGCGCTTGATCTTGAACACCCATTTTGTGCCAATGGCGCGTTGTCCGTTGGGCAGCTTGGCTGCACGAAACACACCGCGAAGTCGCATTGACTCGAGCTCTGCATGAATTGCTTTTCTCCAGTGCACTTGGTCAGGGCCGCTTACTGCTGCTTCAAATGTTGAGGGTTCTGATAAGTCCACTGCTGCTTCAACGGCATTTGCACTCGCACGCCAAAACACAGGCGGTGTTGAATCACCAGAATCCTTCGTTTCTTCGTCTTCTTCTTGTCGTGACGAGTTGTTTTCCGGCGCGCTTGACTCTTCTAGTCCAGGTCGTTGACGCACTGCACGCGGTCGTGGAGCTGCTGTATCTTCATCATTGAGTCGGTTCTTGCGCTTGCCTGTTTGCTTGTACTCCATTTGACGCAGCTCTTCGTCATCAAGATCCAGCAATTCGAAGTCCAGGTCATCGACATCTTCATCAGTGATCGGCAGTTGAAGTCCAAAGGTGGACTCGTCGAAGTTGACATCGCGGCTGATAACCACCTGCCCCGCCTCAATGTCAAATACACGATATGCCTTGGACACTTCTTCGTAGCCCACGAATATGCCAGCGCGAGCCTTGGGATCCCACTTGAGTCGCTTCTCCTTAGGCGTCAGTATAAACGTCTGACAGCCGAATACTCGCATGTGCTTGAAACTTCGCTTGGAGTTGTACACGATCTCAAACGGGGTCTTATGCACAATTTTTGGTGACGGTAGGCGATTCTTGACGTAGATGACCGTCATTGCTAATTCAGCCCAGAAGCACTTGTCCAACTTGGCATGGTGAAGCATGCTGCGGCCGATCGTGACGATAGTCCCGATGGCGCGATTGCTGTTCCGTTGTTCTGGTGTGCATACGGCACCGTCGTCTGCTGTTCAATGCCTTCATCCTCGTAGAAATCTTGAAGCGAGTTCGTAGCAAACTCGCGAGCTCCGTCTTGGCGCACAAACTTGACCTTCTTGCCGAACTGCGTCTGTACCATGGTGATATATTTCCGGATGTAGTCTTCACTCTCGGACTTCACTCGTAGACAAAAGCCCTTCATGCATCCACTGGCTTCGTCGATGATCAGCAGCAAATATTTGCTGCCACCGAGCGAATCCTTTTCCATGGGCCCGCAGATGTCCAGATGAAGTAGCTCAAACGTATCGTAGCTGCGCTTGTCTCGGTTGCTTGGAAATGGTTTTTGGACCATTTCCCCTTGTTGACATCCTCGACATGTAGTTGCTCCACCCGACTTGAGAGGGACTCGCACATCCTTGATCATGTTGGTCGCGATCATCTTGCGAAGTACATCGACTGGAGCATGACCCATTCTCGCATGTAGATCGGCACAACTGGTTCCACTTGTTGTCACATTCGCTGATCGTTGAGTCGTCCGAAGCCAGTAGAGTCCATCCACGAGATCCGCTGTCGCCACCACTTGCTGTGAGTTCTTGAGAGTCACATACATCTTGGACCCGTCAAACACGACTTGAAACTTGCCATGGCTGTTAATCTGTGGCACCGAGAGCAGGTTCTTGCTCATACTTGGAACATATAGCGCGTTCTTGATTTCGATCTCACGCTCTTCACCGTTGGGCAGAACCACCTTTTCCATGATGGTTCCCACACCCTTGATGGCCACCTTGTTGCCATCAGCCACCAAGAGTTCGCCCTCATTGCGCTCTGCCAAACTTGCGAACTTGGTCTTGTCGTGGCAAATGTGGTGCGTTGCACCACTGTCGACGGCCCACATTCCAGACACGTCCTTGCTCGTCGAAACTCCACATTCGAACGAGACTGCAAACGCCACTCGATCGTAGCCATTGCCTTCATCATGATGTCCCCACTGGACATTGTTAGCCCCGCGTCCACGACCATTGCCGCCGCGTCGGGCTCCCCCGACCTTCGTTCTTCTGCTTTGTCCAGCAACGATCCACCGTGTGTCCCACCTTGCCACAATACGTGCATTGGTAGGGCTCACGCTCGGCGCTGAATGCCTTGCTTGCATCTTCAGCCTTCACCGTAGTCGCTGTCGTTGTCCCTTTTTCTCCTTGACGCTTGGCATGCTCATTCGTCAGGACTCTCACCACATCTTGAGTGCGAAGCTCGGTGCTGCTCATTTCCATGTTGAGCACCACATTTTCGTAGCTCTTCGGAAGACTGAGTAGCAGACAAATTGCAACGTCTTCGTCTTCCATCTTCGCACCGATGCCGCTAAGCTTGGCGGAGATGTTGAGGACCTCGTTGCAGTGATGCATGACGTTCGCGCCTTCAGCCATCTTGATACTGAAAAGTTGTCGCTTGAGGTAGATGCGTCCTGCCTTCTGCGACCCACCGTACAGCGTCTTCAGACTTGTCCACGCAACCCAGGCTTCCTCGCAGTTGTCCAGCACATGATGGTAGTCCGCGTTCATGTGCAGCAGCATCATACCAAACGCGACGTTGCTTGCCTTGACGTAGTCATCGGACGCTCGCGGGTCGGTGAAAGTCGGAGTCACTTCACGGTTGACGACGTGCCAGACGGACTTCGTCAAAAACACACCGCGCATGTACCGGCTCCACGTTGCGTAATTGTCTCCGTTGAACTTGTCAATGGAGGCGTTGCTGGTGGACGACATGGCGCTTGGGCTCATAACCTGTTGCATTGTAGATCGGAGCGAGGAAAGCGGAGCAAACGGAGCGGAGAGACCGAAGAGAGTAGAGCAGAAAACACTTGCCCAATAGTTGGAAGATTCGAAAGTGATTGATTATCGGGACTTACTACTTACTACATGATTTATATGTGGTGTACATATAAATCATGTGAAGCGTCTCATCATCCTACGCGTCTAATCAACTATGGTAATTACCGTAAGAACTACGTCGTAAATACTAGGCTGAACAGGCGGTTCGGATTGGACCGGTCACGGTTACCAACACTGGTAGAAAACCGATGACCGTCAACACAAGGGATGAAGAAAGGTGTGCTCACAAACGTGTGGCACATCCCAAAGTTATCCAGAAATCTGTTCTCGGTCGGCCGCTTCACCAAGGATGTCGGCCCAGTGACGTTCACGAAGGATGGGTGCTATGGAGAAGCGAAAGGGACCAAGTGGAAAATTGGTGCCCGTGAAGGTAAAGGACTGTTCAAGCTGCAAATGACTCCAGTGGCGCCGGAACAAGCAAATGCAGCCAAGTCGTCGGGATGTCAAGGGGGCACCAAGTCGTACCTCTGGCACCTTCGGCTTGGCCACATAGGTCACGATGGACTCAATTGCATCGTGACGAAGAACATTGGAATTGGCATCGACATATCTTCGGTGAAGAAGTGGGACGTGTGTGAAGGTTGTGCTCTGGGAAAACAGACTCGAGTGCGCTTCCAATCAAACACTACAGCTCGCACCTCCAAACTCCTCGAAGTGATTCACAGCGACGTATGCGGACCGATGTCGATGGCAACTTTCAGTGGAAAACGGTACTTCGTGACATTCATCGATGACAAGTCAAGATACTGTGTCGTCTATCTGCTCAAGAGCAAATCTGAAGTTGCGGCGAAGTTCATAGAATACGCTGCGATGGCCGAAACGCAAACCGGAAAGCGCGTGAAGTACCTTCAAAGCGACAATGGGGGTGAATACAAGTCCGACAAGCTGGCACGATTCTGCGCGGAACGGGGAATACAACAAAGGTTCACACCCCCATATACTCCTCAGCTAAACGGAGTAGCTGAGAGAATGAATCGCACGCTGGTCGAGTGTGCGCGTTGCATGATGGAACACGCTGGACTGGGAAAGAGCTACTGGGGTGAAGCAGTGATGACGGCGATGTTTCTTCGAAACCGCTGTCCAACACGTGCCATTCACCAAGACAAGTCTCCATATCAAGTGTGGACGATGAAGAAACCGATTCTGGCCAACCTTAAAGTGTTTGGATGCCACGCGTATGTTCAAGTGCCTCAAGACAAACGCGCGAAGTTCGACTCCAAGTCATCACTCTGTCGTTTCCTGGGATACGCCGAACACCAGAAGTCATATCGATTTGAGGAAGTGTCAACAGGAGCGATCAAGATCAGTCGCGATGCCACATTCATGGAAGACAAGTTTGATGAAGGTCCGCGCAACTACAACGATGAGTCAAGTGTCGTTGAGTTTGATGATCATGATGAGGACGAAGAAAAAGAAGAAGGTAAAACTGACGACGACATGGACTCGAGCGACGATGACAACGAAGACACCAGGTCTTCGAAGAGCAACATCAAGAGACACACGCGCACTCAATCACTTGAGAAAGCTACCGTCATTCCAAGTCCCAAGCGAAGAACGTACAGAGGTCCGTCGCTTGAGCATGTGTCAGCGGCTGCAATGGATTTTGAAGCAGCCTACATCGTTGATTCAGTGGGGGAAACGCCGACTACATTCAAGTCGGCGATGGAATCAAGCGACTCCGGCAAGTGGAAAGAAGCGTGTGACTCGGAGTTCGATTCGCTTCAGAGAAACGACACGTGGGAAATCGTGCCTCTTCCGAAAGGTCGCAAGGCCATCGGGTGCCGATGGGTTTTTCGTGTAAAGGAGAATCAAGATGGCGAAGTTGAACGTTTCAAGGCAAGACTTGTGGCCAAACGATTCTCACAGAAATTCGGAGTTGACTATGAAGAAACTTTCGCACCGGTGGCCAAGTTCACATCGATTCGTGTGGTGCTCAGTATGGCGGCCAAGTACGGCCTAATGCTACATCAGATGGACGTCAAGACAGCGTTTCTTAACGGCTCCCTCAACGAAGACATCTACATGGACCAGCCGGACGGATACCTGGATGCAACACAGCCGGACTATGTGTGCAAGCTAAAGAGATCACTCTACGGCTTGAAGCAATCGCCTCGCATGTGGAACCAAACAATCGATGGGTTCATGATCAAGATGGGATTCAAGAAGTGCGAATCGGACCACTGCATCTACATCAAGCGAGACGACCAAGACATGATTCTCGTGGTGCTCTACGTCGATGATCTCATCCTGGCCAGCAGCAACAACGAACTCCTCAAGTCGACCAAGATGGCGCTGAGCAAACGCTTCGAAATGACGGATCTCGGTGAGCTCGATTACTTTCTCGGCATGGAGATCAAGAACGACCGTAAGACGGGAATGGTGACTGTGCAACAAACCAAGTTTCTCAAGTCCGTGTTGACCAAGTTCGGAATGGATAACAGCAAGCCAGTGAAGACGCCTCAAGATCCCGGCCTGAAGCTAACCAAGAACATGTGTGAACAAGAATGCAAGCACGAAGACACCATGTGCAACGTGCCATATCGAAGTGCTGTCGGAGGCATCATGTATCTCATGGTCGCCACACGTCCGGATCTAGCTGCTGCAGTGGGATCATTATCCCAGTTCTCGTCCGACCCATGCCCGACTCACTGGCAAGCTTTGAAGCGTGTGCTGAGATACCTGCAAGCAACGCCCAATCATGGTCTTGAGTTTACACGTGAAGAAGGAAGCCGTATCTGCGGGTACACCGACGCAGACTGGGCCGGCGACATTGAGTCAAGACGAAGTACAAGCGGCTATGTGTTCATGATGAGCGGAGGATGCATCAGCTGGAAAAGCCAGAAACAACGGACGGTCGCGCTATCTTCAACAGAAGCAGAATACATGGCGCTTTCCGAAGCAACCAAAGAAGCAGTATGGCTCAAAGTGCTTTTGGGGGAACTTGGTGAGATGACAAGCGACGAAGCGATCAAGATGTATGAAGACAACCAAGGATCAATCGCTCTCGCCAAGAACCCGGAGTTCCATAAGAGAACAAAACACATCGACATACGCTACCATTTTGTGCGTGAGAAGGTGGAATCAGGTGAAGTCGTTTTGGAGTATTGCCCGACTCAAGATATGCTGGCAGACATGATGACCAAGCCGATCGCCGCTGTACAATTTGAAAACATTCGCGATCGACTTGGGATCCAAGGTGCCGCAGCTAACGAGTCGAGAGGGAGTGTTGAAAAGACAGCGGCTGTGAAGAAGACACCTCGTCAAGCTGCGTCAAGTGTTGAAGCAAGTGGAAGACCAAGCTTCGCTATACCGGTGGGTACCGGTATGTACCAGTAAGGGCGAAGTCAGGAAATGACGTCACTGGATGACGTCACTGCGAATAATAGGCTTAGAGGTAGTATTCAAAGTTGCGAACTAAGTACCTATTATAAATATATATTCACTTTGCGTTTGCACTCGGACCAAGAAGTCTAAAGTTCATCAATATCAATGTGCTTGGCACGGCCGTGGTTGACCGGGTTCTTCGTCATCTTGATACATGACTGATTGTCTTCATGAATCATGAGTTCCGGTCCTTCTTCATTGGCAGCCATCACGATCTCACAAAGTAGACGATGAATCCACTTGCCCTCTTGAATCGCCAAGCTGAGTGCGATGTATTCAGCTTCACTCGTGGACAACGAAACACTTGGATCTTTCTTGCTGCCCCAACTCACTGGCGCACCGAGTAGCATGAACGTGTACCCCGATGTTGACTTGCGGTCGGTAAGATCACCAGCCCAATCCGCATCCGAATATCCACGGAAGTCGATCCTTGCACTTGGCTTGTAGCAAATTCCATGCGTCTTAGTGCCTTGTAGGTAGCGAAAGATACGCTTAACTGCAACCCAGTGTTCTTCTTGGGGATTTTCCCTGAACCGCGACACATAGCCCACAGCAAACGCAATGTCCGGACGCGTTGCAGTGGTCAGGTGCATCAACGCACCAACAGCTTCGCGAAAAGGAGCATCGACCTTGGTAGCTGCATTGCTTGAAATAAGTCGAGAGCTCATGTCCACTGGACTTGACACAGCCTTGCAATCATCCATGCCAAAGCGCTTGAGGATATCATCGACATACCGACGCTGACATAGTGTCACACTGCCATCTTCACCGTCCAAAAGCTCGATCTCAAGAACAAATGCACACTTGCCGCTATCAGTCATCTCGAAGCGTGTCTTCAGGTCTTCCTTGGTGTGTGCAATCAACTTGGGTGAGCTTCCTGTCACCAACACGTCATCCACATAGACCAGTATAAACACGCAATGGCCGTCCGATGTCTTGATGTAGAGACATGGGTCGAAGCCTGACACTTGAAATCCAATGGAACACACAAACTCGTCAAAAGTCTCGTTCCATACTCGCAAAGCTTGCTTCAGGCCGTAAATTGCCTTCACCAATTCCAGGCAGTCGAACGTACTGTCAAGTTCGACGCCTTCAGGAATCACGCAGAACACTTGTTCCTTCATGACGCCATACAGGAAAGCTGTCACCACATCAAGCTGGTCGATGGGCCATCCAAAATGCTTGGAAATTGCGATCACCATTATCAGCGTCACATACTTGACCACAGGCGAAAACGTCTCCGTGTAGTCGATGCCATACTTTTGGCGGAAACCCTTGGCCACAAGTCGTGCCTTGTACTTCTCGATTGACCCATCCGCCTTGCGCTTGATCTTGAACACCCATTTTGTGCCAATGGCGCGTTGTCCGTTGGGCAGCTTGGCTGCACGAAACACAGCGCGAAGTCGCATTGACTCGAGCTCTGCATGAATTGCTTTTCTTCAGTGCACTTGGTCAGGGCCGCTTACTGCTGCTTCAAATGTTGAGGGTTCTGATAAGTCCACTGCTGCTTCAACGGCATTTGCACTCGCACGCCAAAACACAGGCGGTGTTGAATCACCAGAATCCTTCGTTTCTTCGTCTTCTTCTTGGCGTGACGAGTTGTTTTCCGGTGCGCTTGACTCTTCTAGTCCTGGTCGTTGACGCACTGCACGCGGTCGTGAAGCTGCTGTATCTTCATCATTGAGTCGGTTTTTGCGCTTGCCTGTTTGCTTGTACTCCATTTGACGCAGCTCTTTGTTGACGGTCATCGGTTTCTACCAGTATTGGTAACCGTGACCGGTCCAATCCGAACCGCCTGTTCAGCTTAGTATTTACGACGTAGTTCTTACGGTAATTACCATAGTTGATTAGACGCGTAGGATGGTGAGACGCTTCACATGATTTATATGTGCACCACATATAAATCATGTAGTAAGTAGTAAGCCCCGATAATCAATCACTTTCCAATCTTCCATCTACCCCCCAGGTGTCTTCTCCGGTCTTCCGAGTAGACTCCCGGTATCACTCGCAGTTTCGGTCGTCAAGCTTTTCACCAATCAACAGGTTATGAGCCCAAGCACGATGTCGTCTGCTCATGATGCCACCACCAAGATCTCTATCGATAGATTCGACGGTGACAACTACGCGACGTGGAGCCGCTACATGCGTGGCGTGTTCCTGACCAAGTCGGCGTGGCACGTGGTCAACCGGGAGACCACCCCCACCTTCGCCGATCCTCGCGCCAGTGACGACTACATCAAGACGAACAACATTGCGTTCGGCTTGATGCTGCTGCACATAAGCCCGGATTATCATCACGTGGTTGATGACTGTGAAGAGGCGTGGGTCGCGTGGGCGCGTTTGAAGACGCTGTACGGCGGGTCGCAGAAGGCTGGACGCATCTACTTGAAGCGGCAGCTGTTCAGTATGGAGATGGCGAAGGCGGCAATATGCTGCATCATTGCAATGAGGTCCTCAACATCAGCGCGAAGCTGGCTAGCATCGGTGCCAAGATGGAGGACGAGGACGTTGCGATCTGCTTACTGCGCAGTCTGCCCAAGAGTTCGAGAACGTGGTTCTCAACTTGGAGATGAGCAGCGCGGAACTGCGATCGCGAGACGTCGTGCGAGTGCTCACGAATGAGCACATCAAGAGGCAAGGTGACAAGACGACATCTGTGAAGACTGAAGACGCGGCGAAGGCGTTCAGTACCGAGCGTGAACCTCGCCAGTGTACATACTGCGGAAAATTGGGGCACACGGCGGAGCGGTGCTGGACCAAGCAGAAGGACGAAAATCAAGGTGGAGCTCGACGCGGCGGCAACAATGCTCGTGGACGCGGAGCCAACAACATTCAGTGGTGAACCAACAACAACAACGACGACAACTACGATCGAGTTGCGTTCGCGGTTTTGCTGGAGGCTGGACTTTCGACGGGCAAGAATATGCCAGGGATGTGGGCAGTCGACAGCGGTGCGACGCATCACATCTGCAACGACAAGGCCAAGTTTGCAAGCCTGAATGATCGAGAGGAAGGCGAACTATCAGTGGCTGATGGCAGCAAGGCTGCGATCAAGGGTGTGGAACCATCATGGAACGGGTGGTTCTGCCCAATGGTGACGAACGCGACATCGAGATCAAGGACGCACTGTTCGTACCAAGTATGAGCAAGAATCTGCTTTCGGTGCCACAGATCAACAAGGGTGGCAGGTTCCAAGTCGTGTTCGATGGATCCATGATGCAATTGAAGCGCGAGAATTCCACACAAGTCGTGGCAACAGCGGATCTCGTCGATGGACGTTACTGGCTGCGGACTCCTCAACGATCGGCAAATGCAGCAACACGCAATGGGACCATCGACTTGCATGCGCGCATGGGTCATGCACCCCTCGAAGTTCTGCGCAAGATGGTGGCCACTGGCATGATCAAGGACGCCAAGGCACCTCTCAACTCGACTGGTCCAAGTGTATGTCGCGGTTGCCAGCAAGGAAAGATGGTTCAAAAACCATTCCCAACCAACCGTGACAAACGCCAATATGGTGTGTTCGAGTTGCTGCACTTCGACATCTGCGGGCCAATGGAACAAGTCTCGATCGGCGGCAGCAAATACTTACTGCTTGTGGTTGACGAAGCCAGCGGTTGCATGAAGGGCTTCTGTCTGCGGTCCAAGTCTGAGAGTGAAGACTGTATCAAGAACCACATTATCAAGATTCAAACTCAATTCGGCACAAAGATCAAGTTTGTTCGGCACGATGGAGCGTATGAGTTTGCGACCAACTCGATCAAGACCTTCTACGAAGATCATGGTATCGAACAACAGGTCACGGTGCCGTATGCACACCAGACCAACGGCACCGCAGAACGCGCGATAAGGACCATCGTCACGATCGGACGCAGCTTGTTGCATCATGCAAAGCTGGAGAAGTGTTTCTGGGCTGAAGCGGCAATGACGGCGATCTACATCAAGAACCGCCTGCCTTCACCCAAGATCGACCACAAGACTCCGTTCGAGATCGTGTACAAGTCGAAACCAAGTGTCAAGCACATGCGCGTGTTTGGATGTCGGGCGTTTATCCTGACACCAAGGGAGAAGCGATTGAAGTGGGACCCGAAGGCTCGTGAAGGGATGTTCATGGGCTACGAAGAAGCGTCAAAAGCTTATCGGGTGTACGACATTGAGGCGGACCAAGTGGTGATCAGTCGTGACATCACCTTCGACGAATCGACTTTTGATTTTTCGATGGACCGACCAATTGACGATGATGAAGATGCGGAGTTGGACCTCGACCTCCTGGCGATCAACGAGGACGACGTGCGTCAAACCGTCTACAAGCAGACTGGCAAGCGCAAGAGTGAAGCAAGACCCGGCATGTCACGTTCAGCTCGCCCTCGAACTGGGTTGGAACAAGCAAGTGCGCCGGAACACGTCTCCAACCGTCACCAGAAACGACGATCAAGTGCTCCAGAAACGATGTCTGATGACGAAGAAGATGCAAGCGTCTACGATCAAGATGACGACTCGACGCCTCCAACATTTTGGCGTGCAAGTGCAAACGCAGTGGAAGCAACGGACCTAGCAGAACCTGTGACTTTTCAAGACGCAATCAATGGTCCTGATCAAGCTCACTGGCGAAATGCTGTGAAGGCGGAACTCAAGTCGATGCATCTTCGTGGAGTTTTCCGTGCGGCAAAGCTGCCAAGAGGCCAAGGCGCGATCGGCACCAAGTGGGTGTTCAAGATCAAGCGCAAAGCGGATGGATCGGTCGAGAAATATAAGGCGCGTCTCGTTGCCAAGGGCTTCAAGCAGAAGTACGGCATCGACTACACAGAGACGTTCTCGCCCGTGGTCAAGTACGTGACACTGCGTATGGTGATCGCGATCACCAAGTACTTCGACTGGCCACTGGACCAACTCGATGTGGTGACAGCCTTTCTCTACGGAGTGATGAAGGAGAAGGTGTACTGCGTGATACCAGAAGGCGTCGAGATGGATGGCGACTTCGACTGTCTCGAGTTGATGAAGGCGATCTACGGTCTCAAGCAAGCTTCACGTGTGTGGAACGAGACTTTCGACGAGTTCGTGTGCTTCATCGGTTTCGAAGCGTCGGCGTTCGACCCATGTCTCTACATCAAGGTTGTCGACGGTCACTGTGTGCTCGTGCTGGTCTACGTGGATGACGTGTTGGTCACCGGCAGCTCGCTCGAGTTGATTGCGCAGACGAAGGCCGAACTCAAGACGCGTTTCGAGATGACCGACAGTGGCAAGTGTACTTTTGTACTGGGCATCGAACTGGTGAACGAATCGGATGGCAGCGTGACGATGTGCCAGCGACGGTATGTCAACGACATCCTCAAGCGCTTCGGCATGGATAAGTGCAAGGCCACAGCAAGTCCGGTCGACTTGAGCACTCGGCCTGTCGCAAGCAGCGAAGCGGCCAAGATCGACGTTCCGTTTCGTGAAGCTGTGGGAGCTTTGATGCACTTGACGACTGCGACGCGCCCGGACATTGCGTATGCTGTGGGGTACGTCTCGCGCTTCATGGAGAATCCGCAGCAAGAACATTGGACGGCGGTGAAGCGCATCTTTCGTTACTTGCAAGGGACCAAGTCGCACGGACTCCGCTTCCAGCCAAGCGACAAGATCGACTTTCGTGGCTACTCGGACGCGGACTGGGCCGGCGACCACGCTGATCGCAAGTCGACTTCGGGTTACACTTTCATGCTGATGGGTGCTCCTGTGAGTTGGGGAAGAAAGAAGCAGTCAAGTGTGTCGCTGTCGACGAGTGAAGCGGAATACATCGCACTGAGTCTGGCCATCCAGGAAGGCAAGTGGGTGCATCGCCTGCTATGCGAGATTTTGGCGGCCGCAAACGAACCAGGACCGGACCTCGTCATCCGTGAAGACAACCAGTCGTGCATCAAGATGACGAAGAATCCGGTGAATCATGGCCGCGCCAAGCACATCGACATCAAGTACCATCACATCCGTGATGAGGTCAAGCGAGGTGAAGTGCAGCTCGAGTATTGCGAGACTTCCGTGATGATGGCGGACATCATGACCAAGGGGCTTTCGAGACCTCGCCACAAGGACTTGACGACGGCTCTCGGCATTCGTGCGAGTTCGGATTGAGGGGGCGTGTTGACGGTCATTGGTTTCTACCAGTATTGGTAACCGTGACCGGTCCAATCCGAACCGCCTGTTCAGCTTAGTATTTACGACGTAGTTCTTACGGTAATTACCATAGTTGATTAGACGCGTAGGATGATGAGACGCTTCACATGATTTATATGTGCACCACATATAAATCATGTAGTAAGTAGTAAGCCCCGATAATCAATCACTTTCCAATCTTCCATCTACCCCCCAGGTGTCTTCTCCGGTCTTCCGAGTAGACTCCCGGCATCACTCGCAGTTTCGGTCGTCAAGCTTTTCACCAATCAACACTCTTCTTCATCAAGATCCAGCAATTCGAAGTCCAGGTCATCGACATCTTCATCAGTGATCGGCAGTTGAAGTCCAAAGGTGGACTCGTCGAAGTTGACATCGCGGCTGATAACCACCTGCCCCGCCTCGATGTCATAAACACGATATGCCTTCGAAACTTCTTCGTAGCCCACGAATATGCCAGCGCGAGCCTTTGGATCCCACTTGAGTCGATTCTCTTTAGGCGTCAGTATGTATGTCTGACACCCGAATGTTCGCATGTGCTTGACGCTTGGTTTCAAGTTGTAGACGATCTCAAACGGGGTCTGGTGCACGACTTTAGGTGACAGCAGTCGATTCTTGACGTAGATGGTATTGTAGGTTGACGGTTGAGGTACTGCTATCAGCTACCATGGGAACCGTAAACCTGTCCAAGTCGATCCCGCGTAATTACGGTGAGTTTTTACCAATGATTAGACGCATAGGATGATTGGAAGACCTACATGATTTATGATTCATGATTTATATGTGGACAACATATAAATCAGTGCAGAGATAAATCAGGTAGCTTTAACAAAACCCACAAATAAATTCACTTCCAAATATTCCTTCTTCAGCACAAGTCGTCTACACTTCGCAGTGCAGACTTCTTCAGCGTTCTTCAAGCTTCGTTCTCTCGTCCAGTGCTCTTCAGACTTTAACATGTTATGAGCCCAAGCACGATGTCCTCTGCTCAAGATTCCGCCACCAAGATCTCTATCGATAGATTCGATGGAGACAACTACGCGACGTGGAGCCGCTACATGCGTGGCGTGTTCCTGACCAAGTCGACGTGGCACGTGGTCAACCGGGAGACCACCCCCACCTTCGCCGATCCTCGCGCCAGTGACGACTACATCAAGACGAACAACATTGCGTTCGGCTTGATGCTGCTGCACATAAGCCCGGATTATCATCACGTGGTTGATGACTGTGAAGAGGCGTGGGTCGCGTGGGCGCGTTTGAAGACGCTGTACGGCGGGTCGCAGAAGGCTGGAAGCATCTACTTGAAGCGGCAGCTGTTCAGCATGGAGATGGCGGAAGGCGGCAATGTGATGCATCATTGCAACGAAGTCCTCAACATCAGCGCGAAGCTCAGCAGCATCGGTGCCAAGATGGAGGACGAGGACGTGGCGATCTGCTTGTTGCGCAGCCTCCCCAAGAGCTACGAGAACGTCGTTCTCAACTTGGAGATGAGCAGCGCGGAACTGCGATCGCGAGACGTCGTGCGAGTGCTCACGAATGAGCACATCAAGAGGCAAGGTGACAAGACGACATCTGTGAAAACTGAAGAAGCGACCAAGGCCTTCAGTACCGAGCGTGAGGTTCGTCAGTGTACGTTCTGCGGAAAATTGGGGCACACGGTGGAAAAGTGCTGGACCAAGCAGAAGGAAGACAATCGGGGAGCTCGACGCGGCGGCAATGCACGTGGACGCGGAGCGAATCAAGTTCAGTGGCAAGGCTACAACGGCAACAGCAACTGTGACTATGATCGAGTGGCGTTTGCTGTTTCGCTGGAATGCGGACTTTCAATGACCAAGAGCATGTCTGGAATGTGGGCGATTGATAGCGGTGCAACACATCACATCTGCTATGACAAGTCCAAGTTCGAATTTCTGGACGAGCGCAATGAAGGCGAAGTGTTGGTTGCAGATGGGAACAAGGCTGCGATCAACGGTGTCGGGACAATCATCGAAAAGGTGACCCTGTCCAACGGTGAAGAGCGCGAAGTCGAGATCAAGAACGCGCTTTACGTCCCAAGCATGAACAAAAACTTGCTTTCGATACCACAAATCAACAAAAGCGGCAAGTTTCAAGTGGTGTTTGATGGTGACGAGATGAAGATTTCGCACAAAGGCTCCAAGCAAGTAATAGCGATGACCGATCTTGTGGATGGCCTCTACTGGCTTCGTACATCCCAACGATCGGTGAATGCGGCTTCAGGACCAAGAGTCGAAAACCTTCATGCGCGTATGGGCCACGCACCGATTGATGTCTTGTGCAGAATGGTCTCCTGATGGACTTTAGACTTCTTGGTCCGAGTGCAAAACGCAAAGTGAATATATATTTATAATAGGTATTTAGTTCGCAACTTTGAATACTACCTCTAAGCCTATTATTCGCAGTGACGTCATCCAGTGACGTCATCCAGTGACGTCACCCACTGACGTCATCCAATGACGTCATTTCCTGACTTCGCCCTTACTGGTACATACCGGTACCCACCGGTATAGCGAAGCTTGGTCTTCCACTTGCTTCAACACTTGACGCAGCTTGACGAGGTGTCTTCTTCACAGCCGCTGTCTTTTCAACACTCCCTCTCGACTCGTTAGCTGCGGCACCTTGGATCCCAAGTCGATCGCGAATGTTTTCAAATTGTACAGCGGCGATCGGCTTGGTCATCATGTCTGCCAGCATATCTTGAGTCGGGCAATACTCCAAAACGACTTCACCTGATTCCACCTTCTCACGCACAAAATGATAGCGTATGTCGATGTGTTTTGTTCTCTTATGGAACTCCGGGTTCTTGGCGAGAGCGATTGATCCTTGGTTGTCTTCATACATCTTGATCGCTTCGTCGCTTGTCATCTCACCAAGTTCCCCCAAAAGCACCTTGAGCCATACTGCTTCTTTGGTTGCTTCGGAAAGCGCCATGTATTCTGCTTCTGTTGAAGATAGCGCGACCGTCCGTTGTTTCTGGCTTTTCCAGCTGATGCATCCTCCGTTCATCATGAACACATAGCCGCTTGTACTTCGTCTTGACTCAATGTCGCCGGCCCAGTCTGCGTCGGTGTACCCGCAGATACGGCTTCCTTCTTCACGTGTAAACTCAAGACCATGATTGGGCGTTGCTTGCAGGTATCTCAGCACACGCTTCAAAGCTTGCCAGTGAGTCGGGCATGGGTCGGACGAGAACTGGGATAATGATCCCACTGCAGCAGCTAGATCCGGACGTGTGGCGACCATGAGATACATGATGCCTCCGACAGCACTTCGATATGGCACGTTGCACATGGTGTCTTCGTGCTTGCATTCTTGTTCACACATGTTCTTGGTTAGCTTCAGGCCGGGATCTTGAGGCGTCTTCACTGGCTTGCTGTTATCCATTCCGAACTTGGTCAACACGGACTTGAGAAACATGGTTTGTTGCACAGTCACCATTCCCGTCTTACGGTCGTTCTTGATCTCCATGCCAAGAAAGTAATCGAGCTCACCGAGATCCGTCATTTCGAAGCGTTTGCTCAGCGCCATCTTGGTCGACTTGAGGAGTTCGTTGTTGCTGCTGGCCAGGATGAGATCATCGACGTAGAGCACCACGAGAATCATGTCTTGGTCGTCTCGCTTGATGTAGATGCAGTGGTCCGATTCGCACTTCTTGAATCCCATCTTGATCATGAACCCATCGATTGTTTGGTTCCACATGCGAGGCGATTGCTTCAAGCCGTAGAGTGATCTCTTTAGCTTGCACACATAGTCCGGCTGTGTTGCATCCAGGTATCCGTCCGGCTGGTCCATGTAGATGTCTTCGTTGAGGGAGCCGTTAAGAAACGCTGTCTTGACGTCCATCTGATGTAGCATTAGGCCGTACTTGGCCGCCATACTGAGCACCACACGAATCGATGTGAACTTGGCCACCTGTGCGAAAGTTTCTTCACAGTCAACTCCGAATTTCTGTGAGAATCGTTTGGCCACAAGTCTTGCCTTGAAACGTTCAACTTCGCCATCTTGATTCTCCTTTACACGAAAAACCCATCGGCACCCGATGGCCTTGCGACCTTTCGGAAGAGGCACGATTTCCCACGTGTCGTTTCTCTGAAGCGAGTCGAACTCCGAGTCACACGCTTCTTTCCACTTGCCGGAGTCGCTTGATTCCATCGCCGACTTGAATGTAGTCGGCGTTTCCCCCACTGAATCAACGATGTAGGCTGCTTCAAAATCCATTGCAGCCGCTGACACATGCTCAAGCGACGGACCTCTGTACGTTCTTCGCTTGGGACTTGGAATGACGGTAGCTTTCTCAAGTGATTGAGTGCGCGTGTGTCTCTTGATGTTGCTCTTCGAAGACCTGGTGTCTTCGTTGTCATCGTCGCTCGAGTCCATGTCGTCGTCAGTTTTACCTTCTTCTTTTTCTTCGTCCTCGTCTTGATCATCAAACTCAACGGCACTTGACTCATCGTTGTAGTTGCGCGGACCTTCATCAAACTTGTCTTCCATGAATGTGGCATCGCGACTGATGCTTGATCGCTCCTGTTGACACTTCCTCAAATCGATATGACTTCTGGTGTTCGGCGTATCCCAGGAAACGACAGAGTGATGACTTGGAGTCGAACTTCGCGCGTTTGTCTTGAGGCACTTGAACATACGCGTGGCATCCAAACACTTTAAGGTTGGCCAGAATCGGTTTCTTCATCGTCCACACTTGATATGGAGACTTGTCTTGGTGAATGGCACGTGTTGGACAGCGGTTTCGAAGAAACATCGCCGTCATCACTGCTTCACCCCAGTAGCTCTTTCCCAGTCCAGCGTGTTCCATCATGCAACGCGCACACTCGACCAGCGTGCGATTCATTCTCTCAGCTACTCCGTTTGGCTGAGGAGTATATGGGGGTGTGAACCTTTGTTGTATTCCCCGTTCCGCGCAGAATCGTGCCAGCTTGTCGGACTTGTATTCACCCCCATTGTCGCTTTGAAGGTACTTCACGCGCTTTCCGGTTTGCGTTTCGGCCATCGCAGCGTATTCCATGAACTTCGCCGCAACTTCAGATTTGCTCTTGAGCAGATAGACGACACAGTATCTTGACTTGTCATCGATGAATGTCACGAAGTACCGTTTTCCACTGAAAGTTGCCATCGACATCGGTCCGCATACGTCGCTGTGAATCACTTCGAGGAGTTTGGAGGTGCGAGCTGTAGTGTTTGATTGGAAGCGCACTCGAGTCTGTTTTCCCAGAGCACAACCTTCACACACGTCCCACTTCTTCACCGAAGATATGTCGATGCCAATTCCAATGTTCTTCGTCACGATGCAATTGAGTCCATCGTGACCTATGTGTCCAAGCCGAAGGTGCCAGAGGTACGACTTGGTGCCCCCTTGACATCCCGACGACTTGGCTGCATTTGCTTGTTCCGGCGCCACTGGAGTCATTTGCAGCTTGAACAGTCCTTTACCTTCACGGGCACCAATTTTCCACTTGGTCCCTTTCGCTTCTCCATAGCACCCATCCTTCGTGAACGTCACTGGGCCGACATCCTTGGTGAAGCGGCCGACCGAGAACAGGTTTCTGGATGACTTTGGGATGTGCCACACGTTTGTGAGCACACCTTTCTTCATCCCTTGGGGTGTCTTCATCGACATGACAATGTCCCCACTGCCGACTGCTTGGACGGTTCCATCATCCGCGAGATGGACATCCACAGCGTCAAACACCTTGTAGTTCCGCATGAACTTCTTGGAGCACGTCATGTGCTGCGTCGCCCCGGAGTCGACCAGCCAGATGTCGCTTGATTTCGCAGATGTCGTTTCACCGATCGAGAAGAGGTAGTCGTCCGATTCTTTTTCTTGAGCGACATTTGCACGTTGTGATCGATAACGGTCGCCACTGTCTTGAGCGCGCTGTGGCCGGTGTCTCTCCGTGTTTTCTTGGATGCGCGAGGGGCACTCCGCCATCCAGTGACCAATCTTTCCGCAATTGTGGCACGGCCAGGACTTCTTCACTGGTCGCCCTTTGCGCTGATTGTCCCTTGTGATGAACGCTTGACCTTGCGAAGCTTCATCACCTTTACTTCCTTGCTCCTTCCGCTTCATTTCTTCATGAAGCAGTCGAGACGTCACGAGCTCCCAGCTAAGAGTGTCTGAGCGCGACTCCAAAGCTGTGATCAAGAATTGATACGAGTCACTCAGGCCGCCGAGAAGTGTGATCACCAGATCGTCCTCGCAGACTGGAGCCACCACCGCTTCTAGCTGTTCCGCCAGCGTCTTGAGCTTGTTGATGTGTTCGAGCACATCGTCGCCTTCTTCCATCATTGTCGTGAAGAAGCGACGGCGCAAGAACAGCTTGTTGGCAAGACTCTTCTTCTCGAAGTGGTCTTCCAACCTTGAACATGCGTCGCATGCACCACTTGCCGACCGGACCAACGGTAGCTGGGAATCTTCCATGGCTAGACAGATCACTGCCATCGCCTTTCTTGACTTCCTCTTGTACGTCGCTTGGTCCAACTGAGTCTCGCACTGTTCCGCCTTGATCTCACCGCTGACGACCTCCCATAGGTCCCGTTCCTCCAGCACCATCTGCATCTTGAACTTCCAGGCGTGGAAGTTAGTTCCATCGAACTTGGAGATAAGAAGGGAGGAGGCGTCCATGATAGCGAGGCTTGAATTGTTGGCGGTTTCAGAGTCTGACGAACTTGGGCTCATAACCTGATGAACTTTAGACTTCTTGGTCCGAGTGCAAAACGCAAAGTGAATATATATTTATAATAGGTACTTAGTTCGCAACTTTGAATACTACCTCTAAGCCTATTATTCGCAGTGACGTCATCCAGTGACGTCACCCACTGACGTCACCCACTGACGTCATGCAATGACGTCATCCAGTGACGTCATTTCCTGACTTCGCCCTTACTGGTACATACCGGTACCCACCGGTATAGCGAAGCTTGGTCTTCCACTTGCTTCAACACTTGACGCAGCTTGACGAGGTGTCTTCTTCACAGCCGCTGTCTTTTCAACATCTCCAAGGGCATGATCAAGGATCCCAAGAAGCCAGAAAAATTGAGCGGATCAAGCGTGTGTCAAGGTTGTCTAGAAGGAAAAATGGTTCAACGACCGTTCCCGAGCAATCCAAACAAGCGCCACTACGATCCGTTTGAGCTTCTACACATCGACACTTGTGGTCCAATGGAAGTCGACTCGCTAGGTGGAAGCAAGTACTTGCTACTGATCGTCGATGAAGGTAGCGGATGTATGAAGGGTTTCAGTCTGCGCGCCAAGTCCGACAGCGAAGAGTGCATCAAGAAGTACATCATGGCAGCACAGACGCAGTTTCACTACAAGGTCAAGTTCGTTCGACACGATGGTGCACGAGAATTTGCGGCGAATTCGCTCAAGGCATTTTACGATGATCAAGGAATCGAGCAGCAAGTTACCGTTCCGTATGCGCATCAGACCAACGGCACGGCGGAACGGGCAATTCAGACTATTGTGACGATCGGGCGCAGCATGCTTCACTACGCCAAGCTGGACAAGTGTTTTTGGGCTGAAGCAGCAATGACGGCAATCTACATCAAGAATCGCCTACCATCGCCCAAGTGCCAAGATCAAACCCCGTTCGAGATCGTCAACGGATTTCGACCAAGTGTGAAGCACATGCGGGTTTTCGGCTGCCGAACGTTTGTGCTGACCCCCTAAGGAAAAGAGATCGAAATGGGATCCGAAGGCTCGTGAAGGACTATTCATGGGGTACGAAGAAGTGTCAAAGGCATATCGCGTTTACGACATTGAAGCGGACCAAGTGGTGATATCTCGCGATGTCACATTCGACGAATCAACGCTTGGTTTCTCGCCGAGGCTACCACAAGAAATTGTTGATGACACTGCGCTGGATATCGAATCGATGAACATCAGCGATGAGCCTCACCCCATGCAGTTCAAGCAAACTGGAAAACGCAAAAGCCGTTCAAACAGTCAAGAACAAGTTCTACAACGGACACTTCTTGAGCGTCGTGGAACCGGGTTAGAAGAAGCAAGTGCCCCGGATGACTCTGAATCGCACCAAGCGAAGCGACGATCAAGCGCTCGAGACAATCTGGACGAAGAGCAAAAGGGCAGTGACGAAGATAACGAGGATGCTACACCTCAAGTCTTTTGGCGAGCGAGTGCCAATGCAGTCGAAGGTACTGACTTGTCTGAGCCGACAACGTTTGGAGATGCTGTTGGTGGACCAGATCAAGTGCATTGGCGTAAGGCAATCTGTGCCGAGTTGGACTCGATGAAACTTCGTGGCGTGTTTCGAGCGACCAAACTGCCGTCTGGACAGCATACCATTGGCACCAAGTGGGTATTCAAGATCAAACGGAAAGCTGATGGATCCATCGAGAAATACAAGGCGCGCCTCGTGGCAAAAGGGTTCAAGCAGAAATATGGCATCGACTATACGGAAACGTTCTCGCCGGTGGTGAAGTATGTGACTTTACGCATGGTTATTGCGATCACCAAGTACTTTGGCTGGACACTGGACCAACTGGACGTGGTGACAGCTTTCCTTTACGGAGAAATGAAGGAAAAGGTATTCTGCGCGATCCCAGAAGGAGTCGAAGTTGATGAAGACTTTGACTGCTTTGAACTGGTCAAGGCGATCTACGGACTAAAACAAGCATCGCGCGTATGGAACGAGACTTTTCATGAGTTCGTCTGCTCCATTGGATTTCAAGTCTCCGATTTTGACCCGTGTCTTTATCTCAAGATTACAAGTGGCGAGTGCGTGCTTTTGCTGGTATACGTCGATGATGTGTTGGTGACTGGCAGCTCAACCGAACTGATTGTGCGCACCAAGAGTGACTTAAAGGCGCGTTTCGAAATGACCGACAGTGGGAAGTGCGCATTCGTGTTGGGCATCGAGCTGGTGGACAACGACGACGGTAGCGTGACGATGTGCCAGCGACGCTACGTGGAAGATGTTCTCAAGCGTTTTGGCATGAGCGACTGCAAAGCCGTCAACAGCCCAACAGACATCAGTTCTCGACTCATACCAAGTACCGCAGCAACTAAAATCGACGCCCCGTTTCGTGAAGCAGTAGGCGCTTTAATGCACTTGATGACCGCGACACGATCGGACATTGCCTTTGCTGTGAGTTACGTTTCGCGGTTCATGGAAAATCCCCAAGAAGAACACTGGGTTGCAGTTAAGCGTATCTTTCGCTACCTACAAGGCACCAAGACGCATGGAATTTGCTACAAGCCAAGTGCAAGGATCGACTTCCGTGGATATTCGGATGCGGATTGGGCTGGTGATCTTACCGACCGCAAGTCAACTTTGGGGTACACGTTCATGCTACCTGTTGCGCCAGTGAGTTGGGGCAGCAAGAAAGATCCAAGTGTTTCGTTGTCCACGAGTGAAGCTGAATACATCGCACTCAGCTTGGCGATTCAAGAGGGCAAGTGGATTCATCGTCTACTTTGTGAGATCGTGATGGCTGCCAATGAAGAAGGACCGGAACTCATGATTCATGAAGACAATCAGTCATGTATCAAGATGACGAAGAACCCGGTCAACCACGGCCGTGCCAAGCACATTGATATTGATGAACTTAAGACTTCTTGGTCCGAGTGCAAACGCAAAGTGAATATATATTTATAATAGGTACTTAGTTCGCAGCTTTGAATACTACCTCTAAGCCTATTATTCGCAGTGACGTCATCCAGTGACGTCACCCACTGACGTCATCCAGTGACGTCACCCACTGACGTCACCCACTGACGTCATGCAATGACGTCATCCAGTGACGTCATTTCCTGACTTCGCCCTTACTGGTACATACCGGTACCCACCGGTATAGCGAAGCTTGGTCTTCCACTTGCTTCAACACTTGACGCAGCTTGACGAGGTGTCTTCTTCACAGCCGCTGTCTTTTCAACACTCCCTCTCGACTCGTTAGCTGCGGCACCTTGGATCCCAAGTCGATCGCGAATGTTTTCAAATTGTACAGCGGCGATCGGCTTGGTCATCATGTCTGCCAGCATATCTTGAGTCGGGCAATACTCCAAAACGACTTCACCTGATTCCACCTTCTCACGCACAAAATGGTAGCGTATGTCGATGTGTTTTGTTCTCTTATGGAACTCCGGGTTCTTGGCGAGAGCGATTGATCCTTGGTTGTCTTCATACATCTTGATCGCTTCGTCGCTTGTCATCTCACCAAGTTCCCCCAAAAGCACCTTGAGCCATACTGCTTCTTTGGTTGCTTCGGAAAGCGCCATGTATTCTGCTTCTGTTGAAGATAGCGCGACCGTCCGTTGTTTCTGGCTTTTCCAGCTGATGCATCCTCCGTTCATCATGAACACATAGCCGCTTGTACTTCGTCTTGACTCAATGTCGCCGGCCCAGTCTGCGTCGGTGTACCCGCAGATACGGCTTCCTTCTTCACGTGTAAACTCAAGACCATGATTGGGCGTTGCTTGCAGGTATCTCAGCACACGCTTCAAAGCTTGCCAGTGAGTCGGGCATGGGTCGGACGAGAACTGGGATAATGATCCCACTGCAGCAGCTAGATCCGGACGTGTGGCGACCATGAGATACATGATGTCTCCGACAGCACTTCGATATGGCACGTTGCACATGGTGTCTTCGGGCTTGCATTCTTGTTCACACATGTTCTTGGTTAGCTTCAGGCCGGGATCTTGAGGCGTCTTCACTGGCTTGCTGTTATCCATTCCGAACTTGGTCAACACGGACTTGAGAAACTTGGTTTGTTGCACAGTCACCATTCCCGTCTTACGGTCGTTCTTGATCTCCATGCCGAGAAAGTAATCGAGCTCACCGAGATCCGTCATTTCGAAGCGTTTGCTCAGCGCCATCTTGGTCGACTTGAGGAGTTCGTTGTTGCTGCTGGCCAGGATGAGATCATCGACGTAGAGCACCACGAGAATCATGTCTTGGTCGTCTCGCTTGATGTAGATGCAGTGGTCCGATTCGCACTTCTTGAATCCCATCTTGATCATGAACCCATCGATTGTTTGGTTCCACATGCGAGGCGATTGCTTCAAGCCGTAGAGTGATCTCTTTAGCTTGCACACATAGTCCGGCTGTGTTGCATCCAGGTACCCGGTTGGCTGGTCCATGTAGATGTCTTCGTTGAGGGAGCCGTTAAGAAACGCTGTCTTGACGTCCATCTGATGTAGCATTAGGCCGTACTTGGCCGCCATACTGAGCACCACACGAATCGATGTGAACTTGGCCACCGGTGCGAAAGTTTCTTCACAGTCAACTCCGAATTTCTGTGAGAATCGTTTGGCCACAAGTCTTGCCTTGAAACGTTCAACTTCGCCATCTTGATTCTCCTTTACACGAAAAACCCATCGGCACCCGATGGCTTTGCGACCTTTCGGAAGAGGCACGATTTCCCACGTGTCGTTTCTCTGAAGCGAGTCGAACTCCGAGTCACACGCTTCTTTCCACTTGCCGGAGTCGCTTGATTCCATCGCCGACTTGAATGTAGTCGGCGTTTCCCCACTGAATCAACGATGTAGGCTGCTTCAAAATCCATTGCAGCCGCTGACACATGCTCAAGCGACGGACCTCTGTACGTTCTTCGCTTGGGACTTGGAATGACGGTAGCTTTCTCAAGTGATTGAGTGCGCGTGTGTCTCTTGATGTTGCTCTTCGAAGACCTGGTGTCTTCGTTGTCATCGTCGCTCGAGTCCATGTCGTCGTCAGTTTTACCTTCTTCTTTTTCTTCGTCCTCGTCTTGATCATCAAACTCAACGGCACTTGACTCATCGTTGTAGTTGCGCGGACCTTCATCAAACTTGTCTTCCATGAATGTGGCATCGCGACTGATCTTGATCGCTCCTGTTGACACTTCCTCAAATCGATATGACTTCTGGTGTTCGGTGTATCCCAGGAAACGACAGAGTGATGACTTGGAGTAGAACTTCGCGCGTTTGTCTTGAGGCACTTGAACATACGCGTGGCATCCAAACACTTTAAGGTTGGCCAGAATCGGTTTCTTCATCGTCCACACTTGATATGGAGACTTGTCTTGGTGAATGGCACGTGTTGGACAGCGGTTTCGAAGAAACATCGCCGTCATCACTGCTTCACCCCAGTAGCTCTTTCCCAGTCCAGCGTGTTCCATCATGCAACGCGCACACTCGACCAGCGTGCGATTCATTCTCTCAGCTACTCCGTTTAGCTGAGGAGTATATGGGGGTGTGAACCTTTGTTGTATTCCCCGTTCCGCGCAGAATCGTGCCAGCTTGTCGGACTTGTATTCACCCCCCGTTGTCGCTTTGAAGGTACTTCACGCGCTTTCCGGTTTGCGTTTCGGCCATCGCAGCGTATTCCATGAACTTCGCCGCAACTTCAGATTTGCTCTTGAGCAGATAGACGACACAGTATCTTGACTTGTCATCGATGAATGTCACGAAGTACCGTTTTCCACTGAAAGTTGCCATCGACATCGGTCCGCATACGTCGCTGTGAATCACTTCGAGGAGTTTGGAGGTGCGAGCTGTAGTGTTTGATTGGAAGCGCACTCGAGTCTGTTTTCCCAGAGCACAACCTTCACACACGTCCCACTTCTTCACCGAAGATATGTCGATGCCAATTCCAATGTTCTTCGTCACGATGCAATTGAGTCCATCGTGACCTATGTGGCCAAGCCGAAGGTGCCAGAGGTACGACTTGGTGCCCCCTTGACATCCCGACGACTTGGCTGCATTTGCTTGTTCCGGCGCCACTGGAGTCATTTGCAGCTTGAACAGTCCTTTACCTTCACGGGCACCAATTTTCCACTTGGTCCCTTTCGCTTCTCCATAGCACCCATCCTTCGTGAACGTCACTGGGCCGACATCCTTGGTGAAGCGGCCGACCGAGAACAGGTTTCTGGATAACTTTGGGATGTGCCACACGTTTGTGAGCACACCTTTCTTCATCCCTTGGGGTGTCTTCATCGACATGACAATGTCCCCACTGCCGACTGCTTGGACGGTTCCATCATCCGCGAGATGGACATCCACAGCGTCAAACACCTTGTAGTTCCGCATGAACTTCTTGGAGCACGTCATGTGCTGCGTCGCCCCGGAGTCGACCAGCCAGATGTCGCTTGATTTCGCAGATGTCGTTTCACCGATCGAGAAGAGGTAGTCGTCCGAGTCTTTTCTTGAGCGACATTTGCACGTTGTGATCGATAACGGTCGCCACTGTCTTGAGCGCGCTGTGGCCGGTGTCCCTCCGTGTTTTCTTGGATGCGCGAGGGGCACTCCGCCATCCAGTGACCAATCTTTCCGCAATTGTGGCACGGCCAGGACTTCTTCACTGGTCGCCCTTTGCGCTGATTGTCCCTTGTGATGAACGCTTGACCTTGCGAAGCTTCATCACCTTTACTTCCTTGCTCCTTCCGCTTCATTTCTTCATGAAGCAGTCGAGACGTCACGAGCTCCCAGCTAAGAGTGTCTGAGCGCGACTCCAAAGCTGTGATCAAGAATTGATACGAGTCACTCAGGCCGCCGAGAAGTGTGATCACCAGATCGTCCTCGCAGACTGGAGCCACCACCGCTTCTAGCTGTTCCGCCAGCGTCTTGAGCTTGTTGATGTGTTCGAGCACATCGTCGCCTTCTTCCATCATTTTCGTGAAGAAGCGACGGCGCAAGAACAGCTTGTTGGCAAGACTCTTCTTCTCGAAGTGGTCTTCCAACCTTGACCATGCGTCGCATGCACCACTTGCCGACCGGACCAACGGTAGCTGGGAATCTTCCATGGCTAGACAGATCACTGCCATCGCCTTTCTTGACTTCCTCTTGTACGTCGCTTGGTCCAACTGAGTCTCGCACTGTTCCGCCTTGATCTCACCGCTGACGACCTCCCATAGGTCCCGTTCCTCCAGCACCATCTGCATCTTGAACTTCCAGGCGTGGAAGTTAGTTCCATCGAACTTGGAGATGCGGAGGGAGGAAGCGTCCATGGCAGCTAAGCTTGAATTGTTGGCGGTTTCAGAGTCTGACGAACTTGGGCTCATAACCTGATGAACTTTAGACTTCTTGGTCCGAGTGCAAAACGCAAAGTGAATATATATTTATAATAGGTACTTAGTTCGCAACTTTGAATACTACCTCTAAGCCTATTATTCGCAGTGACGTCATCCAGTGACGTCATCCAATGACGTCATTTCCTAACTTCGCCCTTACTGGTACATACCGGTACCTACCGGTATAGCGAAGCTTGGTCTTCCACTTGCTTCAACACTTGACGCACTTGAGCTTGACGAGGTGTCTTCTTCACAGCCGCTGTCTTTTCAACAGGTCTTCCACTTGCTTCAACACTTGACGCAGCTTGACGAGGTGACTTCTTCACAGCCGCTGTCTTTTCAACAGGCTGGACACTGGACCAACTGGACGTGGTGACAGCTTTCCTTTACGGAGAAATGAAGGAAAAGGTATTCTGCGCGATCCCAGAAGGAGTCGAAGTTGATGAAGACTTTGACTGCTTTGAACTGGTCAAGGCGATCTACGGACTAAAACAAGCATCGCGCGTATGGAACGAGACTTTTCATGAGTTCGTCTGCTCCATTGGATTTCAAGTCTCCGATTTTGACCCGTGTCTTTATCTCAAGATTACAAGTGGCGAGTGCGTGCTTTTGCTGGTATACGTCGATGATGTGTTGGTGACTGACAGCTCAACCGAACTGATTTTGCGCACCAAGAGTGACTTAAAGGCGCGTTTCGAAATGACCGACAGTGGGAAGTGCGCATTCGTGTTGGGCATCGAGCTGGTGGACAACGACGACGGTAGCGTGACGATGTGCCAGCGACGCTACGTGGAAGATGTTCTCAAGCGTTTTGGCATGAGCGACTGCAAAGCCGTCACCAGCCCAACAGACATCAGTTCTCGACTCATACCAAGTACCGCAGCAACTAAAATCGACGCCCCGTTTCGTGAAGCAGTAGGCGCTTTAATGCACTTGATGACCGCGACACGACCGGACATTGCCTTTGCTGTGAGTTACGTTTCGCGCTTCATGGAGAACCCCCAAGTCGAGCATTGGATGGCGGTCAAGCGCATTTTGCGATACTTACAAGGGACTAAGTCGCAAGGTATCTGTTTTATTGTGGGTTGACGGTTGAGGTACTGCTATCAGCTACCATGGGAACCGTATACCTGTCCAAGTCGATCCGGCGTAATTACGGTGAGTTTTTACCAATGATTAGACGCATAGGATGATTGGATGACCTACATGATTTATGATTCATGATTTATATGTGGACAACATATAAATCAGTGCAGAGATAAATCAGGTAGCTTTAACAAAACCCACAAATAAATTCACTTCCAAATATTCCTTCTTCAGCACAAGTCGTCTACACTTCGCAGTGCAGACTTCTTCAGCGTTCTTCAAGCTTCGTTCTCTCGTCCAGTGCTCTTCAGACTTTAACATGTTATGAGCCCAAGCACGATGTCCTCTGCTCAAGATTCCGCCACCAAGATCTCTATCGATAGATTCGATGGAGACAACTACGCGACGTGGAGCCGCTACATGCGTGGCGTGTTCCTGACCAAGTCGACGTGGCACGTGGTCAACCGGGAGACCACCCCCACCTTCGCCGATCCTCGCGCCAGTGATGAGTACGTCAAGACGAACAACATTGCGTTCGGCTTGATGTTACTTCACATGAGCGCGGACTATCATCACGTGGTTGATGACTGCGACGAGGCATGGGTTGCGTGGACACGGTTGAAGACTCTCTACGGCGGATCGCAGAAGGCGGGACGGATCTTCTTGAAGCGGCAGCTGTTCAGCATGGAGATGGCGGAAGGCGGCAATGTGTTGCATCATTGCAACGAGGTCCTCAACATCAGCGCAAAGCTGGCTAGCATCGGCGCCAAGATGGAGGACGAGGACGTTGCGATCTGCTTGTTGTGCAGCCTCCCCAAGAGCTACGAGAACGTCGTGCTGAACTTGGAGATGAGCAGCGCGGAACTGCGATCGCGAGACGTCGTGAAAGTGCTCACGAATGAGCACATCAAGAGGCAAGGGAGAAGACGACATCGGTGAAAACTGAAGAAGCGACCAAGGCCTTCAGTACCGAGCGTGAGGTTCGTCAGTGTACGTTCTGCGGAAAATTGGGGCACACGGTGGAAAAGTGCTGGACCAAGCAGAAGGAAGACAATCGGGGAGCTCGACGCGGCGGCAATGCACGTGGACGCGGAGCGAATCAAGTTCAGTGGCAAGGCTACAACGGCAACAGCAACTGTGACTATGATCGAGTGGCGTTTGCTGTTTCGCTGGAATGCGGACTTTCAATGACCAAGAGCATGTCTGGAATGTGGGCGATTGATAGCGGTGCAACACATCACATCTGCTATGACAAGTCCAAGTTCGAATTTCTGGACGAGCGCAATGAAGGCGAAGTGTTGGTTGCAGATGGGAACAAGGCTGCGATCAACGGTGTCGGGACAATCATCGAAAAGGTGACCCTGTCCAACGGTGAAGAGCGCGAAGTCGAGATCAAGAACGCGCTTTACGTCCCAAGCATGAACAAAAACTTGCTTTCGATACCACAAATCAACAAAAGCGGCAAGTTTCAAGTGGTGTTTGATGGTGACGAGATGAAGATTTCGCACAAAGGCTCCAAGCAAGTAATAGCGATGGCCGATCTTGTGGATGGCCTCTACTGGCTTCGTACATCCCAACGATCGGTGAATGCGGCTTCAGGACCAAGAGTCGAAAACCTTCATGCGTGTATGGGCCACGCACCGATTGATGTCTTGTGCAGAATGGTCTCCAAGGGCATGATCAAGGATGCCAAGAAGCCAGCAAAATTGAGCGGATCAAGCGTGTGTCAAGGTTGTCTAGAAGGAAAAATGGTTCAACGACCGTTCCCGAGCAATCCAAACAAGCGCCACTACGATCCGTTTGAGCTTCTACACATCGACACTTGTGGTCCAATGGAAGTCGACTCGCTAGGTGGAAGCAAGTACTTGCTACTGATCGTCGATGAAGGTAGCGGATGTATGAAGGGTTTCAGTCTGCGCGCCAAGTCCGACAGCGAAGAGTGCATCAAGAAGTACATCATGGCAGCACAGACGCAGTTTCACTACAAGGTCAAGTTCGTTCGACACGATGGTGCACGAGAATTTGCGGCGAATTCGCTCAAGGCATTTTACGATGATCAAGGAATCGAGCAGCAAGTTACCGTTCCGTATGCGCATCAGACCAACGGCACGGCGGAACGGGCAATTCGGACTATTGTGACGATCGGGCGCAGCGTGCTTCACTACGCCAAGCTGGACAAGTGTTTTTGGGCTGAAGCAGCAATGACGGCAATCTACATCAAGAATCGCCTACCATTGCCCAAGTGCCAAGATCAAACCCCGTTCGAGATCGTCAACGGATTTCGACCAAGTATGAAGCACATGCGGGTTTTCGGTTGCCGAACATTTGTGCTGACCCCTAAGGAAAAGAGATCGAAATGGGATCCGAAGGCTCGTGAAGGACTATTCATGGGGTACGAAGAAGTGTCAAAGGCATATCGCGTTTACGACATTGAAGCAGACCAAGTGGTGATATCTCGCGATGTCACATTCGACGAATCAACGCTTGGTTTCTCGCCGAGGCTACCACAAGAAATTGTTGATGACACTGCGCTGGATATCGAATCGATGAACATCAGCGATGAGCCTGTTAAAGTCTGAAGAGCACTGGACGAGAGAACGAAGCTTGAAGAACGCTGAAGAAGTCTGCACTGCGAAGTGTAGACGACTTGTGCTGAAGAAGGAATATTTGGAAGTGAATATATTTGTGGGTTTTGTTAAAGCTACCTGATTTATCTCTGCACTGATTTATATGTTGTCCACATATAAATCATGAATCATAAATCATGTAGGTCATCCAATCATCCTATGCGTCTAATCATTGGTAAAAACTCACCGTAATTACGCGGGATCGACTTGGACAGGTTTACGGTTCCCATGGTAGCTGATAGCAGTACCTCAACCGTCAACCCACAATACGCCCCCTCAATGCGAACACGCGTGTATGCCGAGCGCTGCCGTCAAGTCCTTGTGACGCGGTCCTGGCAGTCCCTTCGTCATGATGTCCGCCAACATGATCGTAGTCTCACAGTACTCCAACTTGACATCACCACGCTTGACTTCATCACGAATGTGGTGGTACTTGATGTCGATGTGTTTGGCCCGACCATGGTTCACCGGATTCTTCGTCATCTTGATGCACGACTGGTTGTCTTCCATGATCTTGAGCTCGGGTCCAGACTTGTCCTCTGCGGCATCCAGAATCTCGCACAGCAATCGATGCACCCACTTGCCTTCTTGAATCGCCAGACTTAGTGCAATGTACTCAGCTTCACTTGTTGACAGCGACACACTTGACTGCTTTTTGCTTCCCCAGCTCACCGGAGCACCCATCAGGATAAACACGTATCCTGAAGTCGACTTGCGGTCTGCATGGTCGCCGGCCCAGTCTGCATCCGAGTAGCCACAGAAGTCTATCTTGTCATCAGGCTTGAAACAGATACCGTGCGACTTAGTCCCTTGAAAGTATCGCAAAATGCGCTTGACCGCCATCCAATGCTCGACTTGGGGGTTCTCCATGAAGCGCGAAACGTAACTCACAGCAAAGGCAATGTCCGGTCGTGTCGCGGTCATCAAGTGCATTAAAGCGCCTACTGCTTCACGAAACGGGGCGTCGATTTTAGTTGCTGCGGTACTTGGTATGAGTCGAGAACTGATGTCTGTTGGGCTGTTGACGGCTTTGCAGTCGCTCATGCCAAAACGCTTGAGAACATCTTCCACGTAGCGTCGCTGGCACATCGTCACGCTACCGTCGTCGTTGTCCACCAGCTCGATGCCCAACACGAATGCGCACTTCCCACTGTCGGTCATTTCGAAACGCGCCTTTAAGTCACTCTTGGTGCGCACAATCAGTTCGGTTGAGCTGCCAGTCACCAACACATCATCGACGTATACCAGCAAAAGCACGCACTCGCCACTTGTAATCTTGAGATAAAGACACGGGTCAAAATCGGAGACTTGAAATCCAATGGAGCAGACGAACTCATGAAAAGTCTCGTTCCATACGCGCGATGCTTGTTTTAGTCCGTAGATCGCCTTGACCAGTTCAAAGCAGTCAAAGTCTTCATCAACTTCGACTCCTTCTGGGATCGCGCAGAATACCTTTTCCTTCATTTCTCCGTAAAGGAAAGCTGTCACCACGTCCAGTTGGTCCAGTGTCCAGCCAAAGTACTTCGTGATTGCAACCACCATGCGCAGCGTCACGTACTTGACTACCGGCGAAAACGTTTCCGTGTAGTCGATGCCATATTTCTGCTTGAACCCTTTTGCCACGAGGCGCGCCTTGTATTTCTCGATGGATCCATCAGCTTTCCGTTTGATCTTGAATACCCACTTGGTGCCAATGGTATGCTGTCCAGACGGCAGTTTGGTCGCTCGAAACACGCCACGAAGTTTCATCGAGTCCAACTCGGCACAGATTGCCTTACGCCAATGCACTTGATCTGGTCCACCAACAGCATCTCCAAACGTTGTCGGTGTTGAAAAGACAGCGGCTGTGAAGAAGACACCTCGTCAAGTTGCATCAAGTGTTGAAGCAAGTGGAAGACCAAGCTTCGCTATACCGGTGGGTACCGGTATGTACCAGTAAGGGCGAAGTCAGGAAATGACGTCATTGGATGACGTCAGTGGGTGACGTCACTGGATGACGTCATTGCATGACATCAGTGGGTGACGTCAGTGGGTGACGTCACTGGATGACGTCACTGCGAATAATAGGCTTAGAGGTAGTATTCAAAGTTGCGAACTAAGTACCTATTATAAATATATATTCACTTTGCGTTTTGCACTCGGACCAAGAAGTCTAAAGTTCATCAGGTTATGAGCCCAAGTTCGTCAGACTCTGAAACCGCCAACAATTCAAGCTTAGCTGCCATGGACGCCTCCTCCCTCCGCATCTCCAAGTTCGATGGAACTAACTTCCACGCCTGGAAGTTCAAGATGCAGATGGTGCTGGAGGAACGGGACCTATGGGAGGTCGTCAGCGGTGAGATCAAGGCGGAACAGTGCGAGACTCAGTTGGACCAAGCGACGTACAAGAGGAAGTCAAGAAAGGCGATGGCAGTGATCTGTCTAGCCATGGAAGATTCCCAGCTACCGTTGGTCCGGTCGGCAAGTGGTGCATGCGACGCATGGTCAAGGTTGGAAGACCACTTCGAGAAGAAGAGTCTTGCCAACAAGCTGTTCTTGCGCCGTCGCTTCTTCACGACAATGATGGAAGAAGGCGACGATGTGCTCGAACACATCAACAAGCTCAAGACGCTGGCGGAACAGCTAGAAGCGGTGGTGGCTCCAGTCTGCGAGGACGATCTGGTGATCACACTTCTCGGCAGCCTGAGTGACTCGTATCAATTCTTGATCACAGCTTTGGAGTCGCGCTCAGACACTCTTAGCTGGGAGCTCGTGACGTCTCGACTGCTTCATGAAGAAATGAAGCGGAAGGAGCAAGGAAGTAAAGGTGATGAAGCTTCGCAAGGTCAAGCGTTCATCACAAGGGACAATCAGCGCAAATGGCGACCAGTGAAGAAGTCCTGGCCGTGCCACAATTGCGGAAAGATTGGTCACTGGATGGCGGAGTGCCCCTCGCGCATCCAAGAAAACACGGAGAGACACCGGCCACAGCGTGCTCAAGACAGTGGCGACCGTTATCGATCACAACGTGCAAATGTCGCTCAAGAAAAAGACTCGGACGACTACCTCTTCTCGATCGGTGAAACGACATCTGCGAAATCAAGCGACATCTGGCTGGTCGACTCCGGGGCGACGCAGCACATGACGTGCTCCAAGAAGTTCATGCGGAACTACAAGGTGTTTGACGCTGTGGATGTCCATCTCGCGGATGATGGAACCGTCCAAGCAGTCGGCAGTGGGGACATTGTCATGTCGATGAAGACACCCTAAGGGATGAAGAAAGGTGTGCTCACAAACGTGTGGCACATCCCAAAGTCATCCAGAAACCTGTTCTCGGTCGGCCGCTTCACCAAGGATGTCGGTCCAGTGACGTTCACGAAGGATGGGTGCTATGGAGAAGCGAAAGGGACCAAGTGGAAAATTGGTGCCCGTGAAGGTAAAGGACTGTTCAAGCTGCAAATGACTCCAGTGGCGCCGGAACAAGCAAATGCAGCCAAGTCGTCGGGATGTCAAGGGGGCACCAAGTCGTACCTCTGGCACCTTCGGCTTGGCCACATAGGTCACGATGGACTCAATTGCATCGTGACGAAGAACATTGGAATTGGCATCGACATATCTTCGGTGAAGAAGTGGGACGTGTGTGAAGGTTGTGCTCTGGGAAAACAGACTCGAGTGCGCTTCCAATCAAACACTACAGCTCGCACCTCCAAACTCCTCGAAGTGATTCACAGCGACGTATGCGGACCGATGTCGATGGCAACTTTCAGTGGAAAACGGTACTTCGTGACATTCATCGATGACAAGTCAAGATACTGTGTCGTCTATCTGCTCAAGAGCAAATCTGAAGTTGCGGCGAAGTTCATGGAATACGCTGCGACGGCCGAAACGCAAACCGGAAAGCACGTGAAGTACCTTCAAAGCGACAATGGGGGTGAATACAAGTCCGACAAGCTGGCACGATTCTGCGCGGAACGGGGAATACAACAAAGGTTCACACCCCCATATACTCCTCAGCTAAACGGAGTAGCTGAGAGAATGAATCGCACGCTGGTCGAGTGTGCGCGTTGCATGTTGGAACACGCTGGACTGGGAAAGAGCTACTGGGGTGAAGCAGTGATGACGGCGATGTTTCTTCGAAACCGCTGTCCAACACGTGCCATTCACCAAGACAAGTCTCCATATCAAGTGTGGACGATGAAGAAACCGATTCTGGCCAACCTTAAAGTGTTTGGATGCCACGCGTATGTTCAAGTGCCTCAAGACAAACGCGCGAAGTTCGACTCCAAGTCATCACTCTGTCGTTTCCTGGGATACACCGAACACCAGAAGTCATATCGATTTGAGGAAGTGTCAACAGGAGCGATCAAGATCAGTCGCGATGCCACATTCATGGAAGACAAGTTTGATGAAGGTCCGCGCAACTACAACGATGAGTCAAGTGCCGTTGAGTTTGATGATCAAGACGAGGACGAAGAAAAAGAAGAAGGTAAAACTGACGACTACATGGACTCGAGCGACGATGACAACGAAGACACCAGGTCTTCAAAGAGCAACATCAAGAGACACACGCGCACTCAATCAATTGAGAAAGCTACCGTCATTCCAAGTCCCAAGCGAAGAACGTACAGAGGTCCGTCGCTTGAGCATGTGTCAGCGGCTGCAATGGATTTTGAAGCAGCCTACATCGTTGATTCAGTGGGGGAAACGCCGACTACATTCAAGTCGGCGATGGAATCAAGCGACTCCGGCAAGTGGAAAGAAGCGTGTGACTCGGAGTTCGACTCGCTTCAGAGAAACAACACGTGGGAAATCGTGCCTCTTCCGAAAGGTCGCAAGGCCATCGGGTGCCGATGGGTTTTTCGTGTAAAGGAGAATCAAGATGGCGAAGTTGAACGTTTCAAGGCAAGACTTGTGGCCAAACGATTCTCACAGAAATTCGGAGTTGACTGTGAAGAAACTTTCGCACCGGTGGCCAAGTTCACATCGATTCGTGTGGTGCTCAGTATGGCGGCCAAGTACGGCCTAATGCTACATCAGATGGACGTCAAGACAGCGTTTCTTAACGGCTCCCTCAACGAAGACATCTACATGGACCAGCCAACCGGGTACCTGGATGCAACACAGCCGGACTATGTGTGCAAGCTAAAGAGATCACTCTATGGCTTGAAGCAATCGCCTCGCATGTGGAACCAAACAATCGATGGGTTCATGATCAAGATGGGATTCAAGAAGTGCGAATCGGACCACTGCATCTACATCAAGCGAGACGACCAAGACATGATTCTCGTGGTGCTCTACGTCGATGATCTCATCCTGGCCAGCAGCAACAACGAACTCCTCAAGTCGACCAAGATGGCACTGAGCAAACGCTTCGAAATGACGGATCTCGGTGAGCTCGATTACTTTCTCGGCATGGAGATCAAGAACGATCGTAAGACGGGAATGGTGACTGTGCAACAAACCAAGTTTCTCAAGTCCGTGTTGACCAAGTTCGGAATGGATAACAGCAAGCCAGTGAAGACGCCTCAAGATCCCGGCCTGAAGCTAACCAAGAACATGTGTGAACAAGAATGCAAGCCCGAAGACACCATGTGCAACGTGCCATATCGAAGTGCTGTCGGAGACATCATGTATCTCATGGTCGCCACACGTCCGGATCTAGCTGCTGCAGTGGGATCATTATCCCAGTTCTCGTCCGACCCATGCCCGACTCACTGGCAAGCTTTGAAGCGTGTGCTGAGATACCTGCAAGCAACGCCCAATCATGGTCTTGAGTTTACACGTGAAGAAGGAAGCCGTATCTGCGGGTACACCGACGCAGACTGGGCCGGCGACGATTGAGTCAAGACGAAGTACAAGCGGCTATGTGTTCATGATGAACGGAGGATGCATCAGCTGGAAAAGCCAGAAACAACGGACGGTCGCGCTATCTTCAACAGAAGCAGAATACATGGCGCTTTCCGAAGCAACCAAAGAAGCAGTATGGCTCAAGGTGCTTTTGGGGAACTTGGTGAGATGACAAGCGACGAAGCGATCAAGATGTATGAAGACAACCAAGGATCAATCGCTCTCGCCAAGAACCCGGAGTTCCATAAGAGAACAAAACACATCGACATACGCTACCATTTTGTGCGTGAGAAGGTGGAATCAGGTGAAGTCGTTTTGGAGTATTGCCCGACTCAAGATATGCTGGCAGACATGATGACCAAGCCGATCGCCGCTGTACAATTTGAAAACATTCGCGATCGACTTGGGATCCAAGGTGCCGCAGCTAACGAGTCGAGAGGGAGTGTTGAAAAGACAGCGGCTGTGAAGAAGACACCTCGTCAAGCTGCGTCAAGTGTTGAAGCAAGTGGAAGACCAAGCTTCGCTATACCGGTGGGTACCGGTATGTACCAGTAAGGGCGAAGTCAGGAAATGACGTCATTGGATGACGTCAGTGGGTGACGTCACTGGATGACGTCATTGCATGACATCAGTGGGTGACGTCAGTGGGTGACGTCACTGGATGACGTCACTGCGAATAATAGGCTTAGAGGTAGTATTCAAAGTTGCGAACTAAGTACCTATTATAAAATATATATTCACTTTGCGTTTTGCACTCGGACCAAGAAGTCTAAAGTTCATCAGGTTATGAGCCCAAGTTCGTCAGACTCTGAAACCGCCAACAATTCAAGCTTAGCTGCCATGGACGCTTCCTCCCTCCGCATCTCCAAGTTCGATGGAACTAACTTCCACGCCTGGAAGTTCAAGATGCAGATGGTGCTGGAGGAACGGGACCTATGGGAGGTCGTCAGCGGTGAGATCAAGGCGGAACAGTGCGAGACTCAGTGGGACCAAGCGACGTACAAGAGGAAGTCAAGAAAGGCGATGGCAGTGATCTGTCTAGCCATGGAAGATTCCCAGCTACCGTTGGTCCGGTCGGCAAGTGGTGCATGCGACGCATGGTCAAGGTTGGAAGACCACTTCGAGAAGAAGGGTCTTGCCAACAAGCTGTTCTTGCGCCGTCGCTTCTTCACGACAATGATGGAAGAAGGCGACGATGTGCTCGAACACATCAACAAGCTCAAGACGCTGGCGGAACAGCTAGAAGCGGTGGTGGCTCCAGTCTGCGAGGACGATCTGGTGATCACACTTCTCGGCAGCCTGAGTGACTCGTATCAATTCTTGATCACAGCTTTGGAGTCGCGCTCAGACACTCTTAGCTGGGAGCTCGTGACGTCTCGACTGCTTCATGAAGAAATGAAGCGGAAGGAGCAAGGAAGTAAAGGTGATGAAGCTTCGCAAGGTCAAGCGTTCATCACAAGGGACAATCAGCGCAAAGGGCGACCAGTGAAGAAGTCCTGGCCGTGCCACAATTGCGGAAAGATTGGTCACTGGATGGCGGAGTGCCCCTCGCGCATCCAAGAAAACACGGAGGGACACCGGCCACAGCGCGCTCAAGACAGTGGCGACCGTTATCGATCACAACGTGCAAACGTCGCTCAAGAAGAAGACTCGGGCGACTACCTCTTTTCGATCGGTGAAACGACATCTGCGAAATCGAGCGACATCTGGCTGGTCGACTCCGGGGCGACGCAGCACATGACGTGCTCCAAGAAGTTCATGCGGAACTACAAGGGGTTTGACGCTGTGGATGTCCATCTTGCGGATGATGGAATCGTCCAAGCAATCGGCAGTGGGGACATTGTCATGTCGATGAAGACACCCCAAGGGATGAAGAAAGGTGTGCTCACAAACGTGTGGCACATCCCAAAGTTATCCAGAAACCTGTTCTCGGTCGGCCGCTTCACCAAGGATGTCGGCCCAGTGACGTTCACGAAGGATGGGTGCTATGGAGAAGCGAAAGGGACCAAGTGGAAAATTGGTGCCCGTGAAGGTAAAGGACTGTTCAAGCTGCAAATGACTCCAGTGGCGCCGGAACAAGCAAATGCAGCCAAGTCGTCGGGATGTCAAGGGGGCACCAAGTCGTACCTCTGGCACCTTCGGCTTGGCCACATAGGTCACGATGGACTCAATTGCATCGTGACGAAGAACATTGGAATTGGCATCGACATATCTTCGGTGAAGAAGTGGGACGTGTGTGAAGGTTGTGCTCTGGGAAAACAGACTCGAGTGCGCTTCCAATCAAACACTACAGCTCGCACCTCCAAACTCCTCGAAGTGATTCACAGCGACGTATGCGGACCGATGTCGATGGCAACTTTCAGTGGAAAACGGTACTTCGTGACATTCATTGATGACAAGTCAAGATACTGTGTCGTCTATCTGCTCAAGAGCAAATCTGAAGTTGCGGCGAAGTTCATGGAATACGCTGCGATGGCCGAAACGCAAACCGGAAAGCACGTGAAGTACATTCAAAGCGACAATGGGGGTGAATACAAGTCCGACAAGCTGGCACGATTCTGCGCGGAACGGGGAATACAACAAAGGTTCACACCCCCATATACTCCTCAGCTAAACGGAGTAGCTGAGAGAATGAATCGCACGCTGGTCGAGTGTGCGCGTTGCATGATGGAACACGCTGGACTGGGAAAGAGCTACTGGGGTGAAGCAGTGATGACGGCGATGTTTCTTCGAAACCGCTGTCCAACACGTGCCATTCACCAAGACAAGTCTCCATATCAAGTGTGGACGATGAAGAAACCGATTCTGGCCAACCTTAAAGTGTTTGGATGCCACACGTATGTTCAAGTGCCTCAAGACAAACGCGCGAAGTTCGACTCCAAGTCATCACTCTGTCGTTTCCTGGGATACACCGAACACCAGAAGTCATATCGATTTGAGGAAGTGTCAACAGGAGCGATCAAGATCAGTCGCGATGCCACATTCATGGAAGACAAGTTTGATGAAGGTCCGCGCAACTACAACGATGAGTCAAGTGCCGTTGAGTTTGATGATCAAGACGAGGACGAAGAAAAAGAAGAAGGTAAAACTGACGACTACATGGACTCGAGCGACGATGACAACGAAGACACCAGGTCTTCAAAGAGCAACATCAAGAGACACACGCGCACTCAATCAATTGAGAAAGGTACCGTCATTCCAAGTCCCAAGCGAAGAACGTACAGAGGTCCGTCGCTTGAGCATGTGTCAGCGGCTGCAATGGATTTTGAAGCAGCCTACATCGTTGATTCAGTGGGGGAAACGCCGACTACATTCAAGTCGGCGATGGAATCAAGCGACTCCGGCAAGTGGAAAGAAGCGTGTGACTCGGAGTTCGACTCGCTTCAGAGAAACAACACGTGGGAAATCGTGCCTCTTCCGAAAGGTCGCAAGGCCATCGGGTGCCGATGGGTTTTTCGTGTAAAGGAGAATCAAGATGGCGAAGTTGAACGTTTCAAGGCAAGACTTGTGGCCAAACGATTCTCACAGAAATTCGGAGTTGACTGTGAAGAAACTTTCGCACCGGTGGCCAAGTTCACATCGATTCGTGTGGTGCTCAGTATGGCGGCCAAGTACGGCCTAATGCTACATCAGATGGACGTCAAGACAGCGTTTCTTAACGGCTCCCTCAACGAAGACATATACATGGACCAGCCAACCGGGTACCTGGATGCAACACAGCCGGACTATGTGTGCAAGCTAAAGAGATCACTCTACGGCTTGAAGCAATCGCCTCGCATGTGGAACCAAACAATCGATGGGTTCATGATCAAGATGGGATTCAAGAAGTGCGAATCGGACCACTGCATCTACATCAAGCGAGACGACCAAGACATGATTCTCGTGGTGCTCTACGTCGATGATCTCATCCTGGCCAGCAGCAACAACGAACTCCTCAAGTCGACCAAGATGGCACTGAGCAAACGCTTCGAAATGACGGATCTCGGTGAGCTCGATTACTTTCTCGGCATGGAGATCAAGAACGATCGTAAGACGGGAATGGTGACTGTGCAACAAACCAAGTTTCTCAAGTCCGTGTTGACCAAGTTCGGAATGGATAACAGCAAGCCAGTGAAGACGCCTCAAGATCCCGGCCTGAAGCTAACCAAGAACATGTGTGAACAAGAATGCAAGCCCGAAGACACCATGTGCAACGTGCCATATCGAAGTGCTGTCGGAGACATCATGTATCTCATGGTCGCCACACGTCCGGATCTAGCTGCTGCAGTGGGATCATTATCCCAGTTCTCGTCCGACCCATGCCCGACTCACTGGCAAGCTTTGAAGCGTGTGCTGAGATACCTGCAAGCAACGCCCAATCATGGTCTTGAGTTTACACGTGAAGAAGGAAGCCGTATCTGCGGGTACACCGACGCAGACTGGGCCGGCGACATTGAGTCAAGACGAAGTACAAGCGGCTATGTGTTCATGATGAACGGAGGATGCATCAGCTGGAAAAGCCAGAAACAACGGACGGTCGCGCTATCTTCAACAGAAGCAGAATACATGGCGCTTTCCGAAGCAACCAAAGAAGCAGTATAGCTCAAGGTGCTTTTGGGGGAACTTGGTGAGATGACAAGCGACGAAGCGATCAAGATGTATGAAGACAACCAAGGATCAATCGCTCTCGCCAAGAACCCGGAGTTCCATAAGAGAACAAAACACATCGACATACGCTACCATTTTGTGCGTGAGAAGGTGGAATCAGGTGAAGTCGTTTTGGAGTATTGCCCGACTCAAGATATGCTGGCAGACATGATGACCAAGCCGATCGCCGCTGTACAATTTGAAAACATTCGCGATCGACTTGGGATCCAAGGTGCCGCAGCTAACGAGTCGAGAGGGAGTGTTGAAAAGACAGCGGCTGTGAAGAAGACACCTCGTTAAGCTGCGTCAAGTGTTGAAGCAAGTGGAAGACCAAGCTTCGCTATACCGGTGGGTACCGGTATGTACCAGTAAGGGCGAAGTCAGGAAATGACGTCAGTGGGTGACGTCAGTGGGTGACGTCACTGGATGACGTCACTGCGAATAATAGGCTTAGAGGTAGTATTCAAAGTTGCGAACTAAGTACCTATTATAAATATATATTCACTTTGCGTTTTGCACTCGGACCAAGAAGTCCAAAGTTCATCAGTCGGCTCAGACAAGTCAGTACCTTCGACTGCATTGGCACTCGCTCGCCAAAAGACTTGAGGTGTAGCATCCTCGTTATCTTCGTCACTGCCCTTTTGCTCTTCGTCCAGATTGTCTCGAGCGCTTGATCGTCGCTTCGCTTGGTGCGATTCAGAGTCATCCGGGGCACTTGCTTCTTCTAACCCGGTTCCACGACGCTCAAGAAGTGTCCGTTGTAGAACTTGTTCTTGACTGTTTGAACGGCTTTTGCGTTTTCCAGTTTGCTTGAACTGCATGGGGTGAGGCTCATCGCTGATGTTCATCGATTCGATATCCAGCGCAGTGTCATCAACAATTTCTTGTGGTAGCCTCGGCGAGAAACCAAGCGTTGATTCGTCGAATGTGACATCGCGAGATATCACCACTTGGTCCGCTTCAATGTCGTAAACGCGATATGCCTTTGACACTTCTTCGTACCCCATGAATAGTCCTTCACGAGCCTTCGGATCCCATTTCGATCTCTTTTCCTTAGGGGTCAGCACAAATGTTCGGCAACCGAAAACCCGCATGTGCTTCATACTTGGTCGAAATCCGTTGACGATCTCGAACGGGGTTTGATCTTGGCACTTGGGCGATGGTAGGCGATTCTTGATGTAGATTGCCGTCATTGCTGCTTCAGCCCAAACACACTTGTCCAGCTTGGCGTAGTGAAGCATGCTGCGCCCGATCGTCACAATAGTCCGAATTGCCCGTTCCGCCGTGCCGTTGGTCTGATGCGCATACGGAACGGTAACTTGCTGCTCGATTCCTTGATCATCGTAAAATGCCTTGAGCGAATTCGCCGCAAATTCTCGTGCACCATCGTGTCGAACGAACTTGACCTTGTAGTCAAACTGCGTCTGTGCTGCCATGATGTCATTCTTGATGCACTCTTCGCTGTCGGACTTGGCGCGCAGACTGAAACCCTTCATACATCCGCTGCCTTCATCGACGATCAGTAGCAAGTACTTGCTTCCACCTAGCGAGTCGACTTCCATTGGACCACAAGTGGCGATGTGTAGAAGCTCAAACGGATCGTAGTGGCGCTTGTTTGGATTGCTCGGGAACGGTCGTTGAACCATTTTTCCTTCTAGACAACCTTGACACACGCTTGATCCGCTCAATTTTGCTGGCTTCTTGGCATCCTTGATCATGCCCTTGGAGACCATTCTGCACAAGACATCAATCGGTGCGTGGCCCATACACGCATGAAGGTTTTCGACTCTTGGTCCTGAAGCCGCATTCACCGATCGTTGGTATGTACGAAGCCAGTAGAGGCCATCCACAAGATCGGCCATCGCTATTACTTGCTTGGAGCCTTTGTGCGAAATCTTCATCTCGTCACCATCAAACGCCACTTGAAACTTGCCGCTTTTGTTGATTTGTGGTATCGAAAGCAAGTTTTTGTTCATGCTTGGGACGTAAAGCGCGTTCTTGATCTCGACTTCGCGCTCTTCACCGTTGGACAGGGTCACCTTTTCGATGATTGTCCCGACACCGTTGATCGCAGCCTTGTTCCCATCTGCAACCAACACTTCACCTTCATTGCGCTCGTCCAGAAATTCGAACTTGGACTTGTCATAGCAGATGTGATGTGTTGCACCGCTGTCAATCGCCCACATTCCAGACATGCTCTTGGTCGTTGAAAGTCCGCATTCCAGCGAAACAGCAAACGCCACTCGATCATAGTCATAGTTGTTGTTGCCGTTGTAGCCTTGCTACTGGGCTTGATTCGCTCCGCGTCCACGGGCATTGCCGCCGCGTCGAGCTCCTCGGTTGTCTTCCTTCTGCTTGGTCCAGCACTTTTTTACCGTGTGCCCCAATTTTCCGCAGAACGTACACTGACGAAGCTCACGCTCGGTACTGAAGGCCTTGGTCGCTTCCTCAGTTTTCACCGATGTCGTCTTGTTTCCTTGTCTCTTGATGTGCTCATTAGTCAGCACCTTCACGACGTCTTGCGTCCGCAGTTCCGTGCTGCTCATCTCCAAGTTCAGCACGACGTTCTCGTAGCTCTTGGGGAGACTGCACAACAAGCAGATCGCCACGTCCTCGTCCTCCATCTTGGCGCCGATGCTGCTGAGCTTGGCGCTGATGTTGAGAATTCCATTGCAATGATGCATTACATTGCCGCCTTCCGCCATCTCCATGCTGAACAGCTGTCGCTTCAAGAAGATCCGTCCCGTCTTCTGCGATCCGCCGTAGAGAGTCTTCAACCGTGTCCACGCAACCCAGGCCTCATCGCAGTCATCAACCACGTGATGATAGTCCGCGCTCATGTGAAGTAACATCAAGCCAAACGCAATGTTGTTCGTCTTGACGTACTCATCACTGGCGCGAGGATCGGCGAAGGTGGGGGTGGTCTCCCGGTTGACCACGTGCCACGTCGACTTGGTCAGGAACACGCCACGCATGTAGCGGCTCCACGTCGCGTAGTTGTCTCCATCGAATCTATCGATAGAGATCTTGGTGGCGTAATCTTGAGCAGAGGACATCGTGCTTGGGCTCATAACCTGTTAAAGTCTGAAGAGCACTGGGCGAGAGAACGAAGCTGGAAGAACGCTGAAGAAGTCTGCACTGCGAAGTGAAGACGACTTGTGTAGGAGAAGGAATATTTGGAAGTGAATTTATTTGTGGGTTTTGTTAAAGCTACCTGATTTATCTCTGCACTGATTTACATGTTGTCCACATATAAATCATGAATCATAAATCATGTAGGTCATTCAAACTTCCTATGCGTCTAATTGTTGGTATAAACTCACCGTAATTACGCGGGATCGACTTGGACAGGTTTACGGTTCCCATGGTAGCTGATAGCAGTACCTCAACCGTCAACCCACAATACGCCCCCTCAATGCGAACACGCGTGTATGCCGAGCGCTGCCGTCAAGTCCTTGTGACGCGGTCCTGGCAGTCCCTTGGTCATGATGTCCGCCAACATAATCGTAGTCTCACAGTACTCCAACTTGACATCACCACGCTTGACTTCATCACGAATGTGATGGTACTTGATGTCGATGTGCTTGGCCCGACCATGGTTCACAGGATTCTTCGTCATCTTGATGCACGACTGGTTGTCTTCCATGATCTTGAGCTCGGGTCCAGACTTGTCCTCTGCGGCATCCAGAATCTCGCACAGCAATCGATGCACCCACTTGCCTTCTTGAATCGCCAGACTTAGTGCAATGTACTCAGCTTCACTTGTTGACAGCGACACACTTGACTGCTTTTTGCTTCCCCAGCTCACCGGAGCACCCATCAGGATAAACGCATATCCTGAAGTCGACTTGCGGTCTGCATGGTCGCCGGCCCAGTCTGCATCCGAGTAGCCACAGAAGTCTATCTTGTCATCAGGCTTGAAACAGATACCGTGCGACTTAGTCCCTTGTAAGTATCGCAAAATGCGCTTGACCGCCATCCAATGCTCGACTTGGGGGTTCTCCATGAAGCGCGAAACGTAACTCACAGCAAAGGCAATGTCCGGTCGTGTCGCGGTCATCAAGTGCATCAAAGCGCCTACTGCTTCACGAAACGGGGCGTCGATTTTAGTTGCTGCGGTACTTGGTATGAGTCGAGAACTGATGTCTGTTGGGCTGGTGACGGCTTTGCAGTCGCTCATGCCAAAACGCTTGAGAACATCTTCCACGTAGCGTCGCTGGCACATCGTCACGCTACCGTTGTCGTTGTCCACCAGCTCGATGCCCAACACGAATGCGCACTTCCCACTGTCGGTCATTTCGAAACGCGCCTTTAAGTCACTCTTGGTGCGCAAAATCAGTTCGGTTGAGCTGCCAGTCACCAACACATCATCGACGTATACCAGCAAAAGCACGCACTCGCCACTTGCAATCTTGAGATAAAGACACGGGTCAAAATCGGAGACTTGAAATCCAATGGAGCAGACGAACTCATGAAAAGTCTCGTTCCATACGCGCGATGCTTGTTTTAGTCCGTAGATCGCCTTGACCAGTTCAAAGCAGTCAAAGTCTTCATCAACTTCGACTCCTTCTGGGATCGCGCAGAATACCTTTTCCTTCATTTCTCCGTAAAGGAAAGCTGTCACCACGTCCAGTTGGTCCAGTGTCCAGCCAAAGTACTTCGTGATTGCAACCACCATGCGCAGCGTCACGTACTTGACTACCGGCGAAAACGTTTCCGTGTAGTCGATGCCATATTTCTGCTTGAACCCTTTTGCCACGAGACGCGCCTTGTATTTCTCGATGGATCCATCAGCTTTCCGTTTGATCTTGAATACCCACTTGGTGCCAATGGTATGCTGTCCAGACGGCAGTTTGGTCGCTCGAAACACGCCACGAAGTTTCATCGAGTCCAACTCGGCACAGATTGCCTTACGCCAATGCACTTGATCTGGTCCACCAACAGCATCTTCAAACGTTGTCGGCTCAGACAAGTCAGTACCTTCGACTGCATTGGCACTCGCTCGCCAAAAGACTTGAGGTGTAGCATCCTCGTTATCTTCGTCACTGCCCTTTTGCTCTTCGTCCAGATTGTCTCGAGCGCTTGATCGTCGCTTCGCTTGGTGCGATTCAAAGTCATCCGGGGCACTTGCTTCTTCTAACCCGGTTCCACGACGCTCAAGAAGTGTCCGTTGTAGAACTTGTTCTTGACTGTTTGAACGGCTTTTGCGTTTTCCAGTTTGCTTGAACTGCATGGGGTGAGGCTCATCGCTGATGTTCATCGATTCGATATCCAGCGCAGTGTCATCAACAATTTCTTGTGGTAGCCTCGGCGAGAAACCAAGCGTTGATTCGTCGAATGTGACATCGCGAGATATCACCACTTGGTCCGCTTCAATGTCGTAAACGCGATATGCCTTTGACACTTCTTCGTACCCCATGAATAGTCCTTCACGAGCCTTCGGATCCCATTTCGATCTCTTTTCCTTAGGGGTCAGCACAAACGTTCGGCAGCCGAAAACCCGCATGTGCTTCACACTTGGTCGAAATCCGTTGACGATCTCGAACGGGGTTTGATCTTGGCACGTGGGCGATGGTAGGCGATTCTTGATGTAAATCGCAGCCATTGCCGCTTCACCCCAGAAACACTTGTCCAGCTTGGCGTAGTGAAGCATGCTGCGCCCGATCGTCACAATGGTCCGAATTGCCCGTTCCGCCGTGACGTTGGTCTGATGCGCATACGGAAAGGTAACCTGCTGCTCGATTCCTTGATCATCGTAAAATGCCTTGAGCGAATTCGCCGCAAATTTGTGTGCACCATCGTGTCGAACGAACTTGACCTTGAAGTTAAACTGCGTCTGTACTGCCATGATGTACTTCTTGATGCACTCTTCGCTGTCGGACTTGGCGCGCAGACTGAAACCCTTCATGCATCCGCTGCCTTCATCGACGATCAGTAGCAAGTACTTGCTTCCACCTAGCGAGTCGACTTCCATTGGACCACAGGTGTCGATGTGTAGAAGCTCAAACGAATCGTAGTGGCGCTTGTTTGGATTGCTCGGGAACGGTCGTTGAACCATTTTTCCTTCTAGAGAACCTTGACACACGCTTGGTCCGCTCAATTTTGTTGGCATCTTGGCATCCTTGATCATGCCCTTGGAGACCATTCTGCACAAGACATCAACCGGTGCGTGGCCCATACGCGCATGAAGGTTTTCGACTCTTAGTCCTGAAGCCGCATTCGCGGATCGCTGGGATGTACGAAGCCAGTAGAGGCCATCCACAAGATCGGCCATCGCCATTACTTGCTTGGAGCCTTTGTGCGAAATCTTCATCTCGTCACCATCAAACACAACTTGAAACTTGCCGCTTTTGTTGATTTTTTTGGTATCGACAGCAAGTTCTTGTTCATGCTTGGGACGTAAAGCGCGTTCTTAATCTCGACTTCGCGCTCTTCACCATTAGACAGGATCACCTTTTCGACGATTGTCCGACACCGTTGATTGCAGCCTTGTTCCCATCTGCAACCAACACTTCACCTTCATTGCGCTCGTCCAGAACTTCGAACTTGGACTTGTCATAGCAGATGTGATGTGTTGCACCGCTATCAATCGCCCACATTCCAGACATGCTCTTGGTCGTTGAAAGTCCGCATTCCAGCGAAACAGCAAACGCCACTCGATCATAGTCACAGTTGCTGTTGCCGTTGTAGCCTTGCCACTGAACTTGATTCGCTCCGCGTCCACGTGCATTGCCGCCGCGTCGAGCTCCCCGATTGTCTTCCTTCTGCTTGGTCCAGCACTTTTCCACCGTGTGCCCCAATTTTCCGCAGAACGTACACTGACGAACCTCACGCTCGGTACTGAAGGCCTTGGTCGCTTCTTCAGTTTTCACCGATGTCGTCTTCTCCCTTGCCTCTTGATGTGCTCGTTCGTGAGCACTTTCACGACGTCTTGCGACCGAAGCTCTGCGCTGTTTATCTCCAAGTTCAGCACGACGTTCTCGTAGCTCTTGGGGAGGCTGCACAACAAGCAGATCGCAACGTCCTCGTCTTCCATCTCGGCGTCGATGCTAGTTAGATTGGCGCTGATGTGGAGAAACTCATTGCAATGATGCAACACATTGCCGCCTTCCGCCATCTCCATGCTGAACAGCTGCCGCTTCAAGAAAATCCGCCCCGCCTTCTGCGATCCGCCGTAGAGAGTCTTCAACCGTGTCCACGCAACCCATGCCTCGTCGCAGTCATCAACCACGTGATAATAGTCCGCGCTCATGTGAAGTAACATCAAGCCGAACGCAATGTTGTTCGTCTTGACGTACTCATCACTGGCGCGAGGATCGGCGAAGGTGGGGGTGGTCTCCCGGTTGACCACGTGCCACGTCGACTTGGTCAGGAACACGCCACGCATGTAGCGGCTCCACGTCGCGTAGTTGTCTCCATCGAATCTATCGATAGAGATCTTGGTGGCGGAATCTTGAGCAGAGGACATCGTGCTTGGGCTCATAACCTGTTAAAGTCTGAAGAGCACTGGACGAGAGAACGAAGCTTGAAGAACTTGAAAGAAGTCTGCACTGCGAAGTGTAGACGACTTGTGCTGAAGAAGGAATATTTGGAAGTGAATTTATTTGTGGGTTTTGTTAAAGCTACCTGATTTATCTCTGCACTGATTTATATGTTGTCCACATATACATCATGAATCATAAATCATGTAGGTCATCCAATCATCCTATGCGTCTAATTATTGGTAAAAACTCAACGTAATTACGCGGGATCGACTTGGACAGGTTTACGGTTCCCATGGTAGCTGATAGCAGTACCTCAACCGTCAACCCACAATACATTTCGATCTCTTTTCCTTAGGGGTCAGCACAAACGTTCGGCAGCCGAAAACCCGCATGTGCTTCACACTTGGTCGAAATCCGTTGACGATCTCGAACGGGGTTTGATCTTGGCACTTGGGCGATGGTAGGCGATTCTTGATGTAGATTGCCGTCATTGCTGCTTCAGCCCAAAAACACTTGTCCAGCTTGGCGTAGTGAAGCATGCTGCGCCCGATCGTCACAATAGTCCGAATTGCCCGTTCCGCCGTGCCGTTGGTCTGATGCGCATACGGAACGGTAACTTGCTGCTCGATTCCTTGATCATTGTAAAATGCCTTGAGCGAACTCGCCGCAAATTCTCGTGCACCATCGTGTCGAACGAACTTGACCTTGTAGTCAAACTGCGTCTGTACTGCCATGATGTACTTCTTGATGCACTCTTCGCTGTCGGACTTGGCGCGCAGACTGAAACCCTTCATACATCCGCTGCCTTCATCGACGATCAGTAGCAAGCACTTGCTTCCACCTAGCGAGTCGACTTCCATTGGACCACAAGTGTCGATGTGTAGAAGCTCAAACGGATCGTAGTGGCGCTTGTTTGGATTGCTCGGGAACGGTCGTTGAACCATTTTTCCTTCTAGACAACCTTGACACACGCTTGATCCGCTCAATTTTGCTGGCTTCTTGGCATCCTTGATCATGCCCTTGGAGACCATTCTGCACAAGACATCAATCGGTGCGTGGTCCATACGCGCATGAAGGTTTTCGACTCTTGGTCCTGAAGCCGCATTCACCGATCGTTGGTATGTACGAAGCCAGTAGAGGCCATCCACAAGATCGGCCATCGCTATTACTTGCTTGGAGCCTTTGTGCGAAATCTTCATCTCGTCACCATCAAACACCACTTGAAACTTGCCGCTTTTGTTGATTTGTGGTATCGAAAGCAAGTTTTTGTTCATGCTTGGGACGTAAAGCGCGTTCTTGATCTCGACTTCGCGCGCTTCACCGTTGGACAGGGTCACCTTTTCGATGATTGTCCCGACACCGTTGATCGCAGCCTTGTTCCCATCTGCAACCAACACTTCGCCTTCATTGCGCTCGTCCAGAAATTCGAACTTGGACTTGTCATAGCAGATGTGATGTGTTGCACCGCTATCAATCGCCCACATTCCAGACATGCTCTTGGTCGTTGAAAGTCCGCATTCCAGCGAAACAGCAAACGCCACTCGATCATAGTCACAGTTGCTGTTGCCGTTGTAGCCTTGCCACTGAACTTGATTCGCTCCGCGTCCACGTGCATTGCCGCCGCGTCGAGCTCCCCGATTGTCTTTCTTCTGCTTGGTCCAGCACTTTTCCACCGTGTGCCCCAATTTTCCGCAGAACGTACACTGACGAACCTCACGCTCGGTACTGAAGGCCTTGGTCGCTTCTTCAGTTTTCACCGATGTCGTCTTTTTCCCTTGCCTCTTGATGTGCTCATTCGTCAGCACTTTCACGACGTCTTGCGTCCGCAGTTCCGCGCTGCTCATCTCCAAGTTCAGCACGACGTTCTCGTAGCTCTTGGGGAGGCTGCACAACAAGCAGATCGCCACGTCCTCATCCTCCATCTTGGCGCCGATGGTGCTGAGCTTGGCGCTGATGTTGAGGACCTCATTGCAATGATGCAACACATTGCCGCCTTCTGTCATCTCCATACTGAAGAGCTGGCGCTTCAAGCAGATGTGCCCAGCCTTCTGAGATCCGCCGTAGAGAGTCTTCAACCGTGTCCACGCAACCCATGCCTCGTCGCAGTCATCAACCACGTGATAATAGTCCGCGCTCATGTGAAGTAACATCAAGCCGAACGCAATGTTGTTCGTCTTGACGTACTCATCACTGGCGCGAGGATCGGCGAAGGTGGGGGTGGTCTCCCGGTTGACCACGTGCCACCTCGACTTGGTCAGGAACACGCCACGCATGTAGCGGCTCCACGTCGCGTAGTTGTCTCCATTGAATCTATCGATAGAGATCTTGGTGGCGGAATCTTGAGCAGAGGACATCGTGCTTGGGCTCATAACCTGTTAAAGTCTGAAGAGCACTGGACAAGAGAACGAAGCTTGAAGAACGCTGAAGAAGTCTGCACTGCGAAGTGTAGACGACTTGTGCTGAAGAAGGAATATTTGGAAGTGAATTTATTTGTGGGTTTTGTTAAAGCTACCTGATTTATCTCTGCACTGATTTATATGTTGTCCACATATAAATCATGAATCATAAATCATGTAGGTCATCCAATCATCCTATGCGTCTAATTATTGGTAAAAACTCAACGTAATTACGCGGGATCGACTTGGACAGGTTTACGGTTCCCATGGTAGCTGATAGCAGTACCTCAACCGTCAACCCACAATAGAGCCTCACCCCATGCAGTTCAAGCAAACTGGAAAACGCAAAAGCCGTTCAAACAGTCAAGAACAAGTTCTACAACGGACACTTCTTGAGCGTCGTGGAACCGGGTTAGAAGAAGCAAGTGCCCCGGATGACTCTGAATCGCACCAAGCGAAGCGACGATCAAGCGCTCGAGACAATCTGGACGAAGAGCAAAAGGGCAGTGACGAAGATAACGAGGATGCTACACCTCAAGTCTTTTGGCGAGCGAGTGCCAATGCAGTCGAAGGTACTGACTTGTCTGAGCCGACAACGTTTGGAGATGCTGTTGGTGGACCAGATCAAGTGCATTGGCGTAAGGCAATCTGTGCCGAGTTGGACTCGATGAAACTTCGTGGCGTGTTTCGAGCGACCAAACTGCCGTCTGGACAGCATACCATTGGCACCAAGTGGGTATTCAAGATCAAACGGAAAGCTGATGGATCCATCGAGAAATACAAGGCGCGCCTCGTGGCAAAAGGGTTCAAGCAGAAATATGGCATCGACTACACGGAAACGTTTTCGCCGGTAGTCAAGTACGTGACGCTGCGCATGGTGGTTGCAATCACGAAGTACTTTGGCTGGACACTGGACCAACTGGACGTGGTGACAGCTTTCCTTTACGGAGAAATGAAGGAAAAGGTATTCTGCGCGATCCCAGAAGGAGTCGAAGTTGATGAAGACTTTGACTGCTTTGAACTGGTCAAGGCGATCTACGGACTAAAACAAGCATCGCGCGTATGGAACGAGACTTTTCATGAGTTCGTCTGCTACATTGGATTTCAAGTCTCCGATTTTGACCCGTGTCTTTATCTCAAGATTACAAGTGGCGAGTGCGTGCTTTTGCTGGTATACGTCGATGATGTGTTGGTGACTGGCAGCTCAACCGAACTGATTGTGCGCACCAAGAGTGACTTAAAGGCGCGTTTCGAAATGACCGATAGTGGGAAGTGCGCATTCGTGTTGGGCATCGAGCTGGTGGACAACGACGACGGTAGCGTGACGATGTGCCAGCGACGCTACGTGGAAGATGTTCTCAAGCGTTTTGGCATGAGCGACTGCAAAGCCGTCACCAGCCCAACAGACATCAGTTCTCGACTCATACCAAGTACCGCAGCAACTAAAATCGACGCCCCGTTTCGTGAAGCAGTAGGCGCTCTGATGCACTTGATGACCGCGACACGACCGGACATTGCCTTTGCTGTGAGTTACGTTTCGCGCTTCATGGAGAACCCCCAAGTCGAGCATTGGATGGCGGTCAAGCGCATTTTGCGATACTTACAAGGGACTAAGTCGCACGGTATCTGTTTCAAGCCTGATGACAAGATAGACTTCTGTGGCTACTCGGATGCAGACTGGGCCGGCGACCATGCAGACCGCAAGTCGACTTCAGGATACGCGTTTATCCTGATGGGTGCTCCGGTGAGCTGGGGAAGCAAAAAGCAGTCAAGTGTGTCGCTGTCAACAAGTGAAGCTGAGTACATTGCACTAAGTCTGGCGATTCAAGAAGGCAAGTGGGTGCATCGATTGCTGTGCGAGATTCTGGATGCCGCAGAGGACAAGTCTGGACCCGAGCTCAAGATCATGGAAGACAACCAGTCGTGCATCAAGATGACGAAGAATCCGGTGAACCATGGTCGGGCCAAGCACATCGACATCAAGTACCACCACATTCGTGATGAAGTCAAGCGTGGTGATGTCAAGTTGGAGTACTGTGAGACTACGATCATGTTGGCGGACATCATGACGAAGGGACTGCCAGGACCGCGTCACAAGGACTTGACGGCAGCGCTCGGCATACACACGTGTTCGCATTGAGGGGGCGTATTGTGGGTTGACGGTTGAGGTACTGCTATCAGCTACCATGGGAACCGTAAACCTGTCCAAGTCGATCGCGCGTAATTGTGGTGAAGTCGATCTCACAAAATTGCTTGTATGAGTGTCGATCTTCCACTTGCCCAGACTTGCCGACTCACGGAGGGGGTACTCTGATCCGTGCCTTGTTGTATGACCTTGTGTTCACCTTGTGTACCCGTCGGTTGGGCTGGCTTGAGCTCTTCGTAACGGCCTTGGGAGATGTCGATCTCGCTGAGAGGTTGGGTTGAGGGTTCGCTTCCGGTGCGGAAATCTTCACACCACGAACGGGGTTCTGCGATCCCGATCTTGGATCGCACCGATCTTGATTTGTCCTCGAGATCGGGGTCTTTGCTGTGCGGAAATCTTCACTCAGCAAATAAAAGTCCTCCGTCGATCTTGCCTTGGGATCGGTCCGATCTGGTCTTGGGATCGGCCGATCTTGCCGGAAGTGCGCAATTTGGGTAGATCGGTGTCTTGTTTCGCCAAATCGAAACGTGCCGATCTGTCAGGGGATCGCTTCGATCCTGCTCGGTCTTGTCTTGAACGCCTTGTCCAGATCTTCTGACCACTTGAGCCGTCTCGCGATCCTGTGTCCAAAATCCTTTTCCTTTTCCGTTGTGTGTGTGGTGAAGTCGATCTCACAAAATTGCTTGTATGAGTGTCGATCTTCCACTTGCCCAGACTTGCCGACTCACGGAGGGGGTACTCCGATCCGTGCCTTGTTGTATGACCTTGTGCTCACCTTGTGTACCCGTCGGTTGGGCTGGATTGAGCTCTTCGTAACGGCCTTGGGAGATGTCGATCTCGCTGAGAGGGTTGGGTTGAGGGTTCGCTTCCGGTGCGG